TGAAAACATTCTGATTATAGATGAAGACTGAGGTGTTTATTCTTACTCTACTCAACAAACTGATGAATATCTCCGTTTACATGCTCACTACAAGTAATCTGATCCAAAATGACGCGCATGCGTAGAGAACCGTTTAGTGTAGATGTTACCATGACAACCAGCATCACGTGAGTCCAGTCAGAGTGAGATGAGCAGCAGTGAGCAGCGTTTGTGTTTTTTAATTGCTTTAAAACTGATGTCAGACTCAGGAAAACGTGCTTCACATGTCCTTATTAAAGCAGGCCGAGAGGAAGACGTCGTGTTCTGAGACACATAAGCTGGACGTCCGTCCCACCACCGTCTTTTAAAGATCAGAGCATAAACTTCGTCTCCTCTGCTGACCAGTTTCTGCTCCGCCATGCTGAACGGTATAAACTTTCACTGTGACGTGACGAACATGATCAGAACGGACTTAAACTTTCCGATAGGGAATGTAATCAGATACAGGCGTTTACATGGCTATTATTCTTCTGTTTAACAGATTATTTAGAGGATTACCCACCTCGTTCAATCAGATAGAAACTGTATTCCGAATGGCCTCAATCGGACTAGTCTATTCCGAATGAAGTGTATACGTGGACGTACTCTATTCCGATTGAGCTATTAGTTGGATTATTAACGGATTATTAGGCTGCAGGTAAACGCAGCTACTGGCAGCTTTGAAGGGTCTACCACCCGGCCTGTAAAAAAAAAATCTAGTGGAAAAATACTGTAAAACACACAGACTTTATTTTTAAGAAACTGGGGCAGAAGTCCATGTGAAGCTGAAATGACCCCAGTCATTTGTCAGGAGAGTGAAATGGGGCTTAATAAGCTTTAAAAGAGAGCCACAGGAGAGAGCCACAGCAGGACAGTCTACGAAAACCGTATAATAATAATGCTACCCAAACCACAGCCAGCTTTCATTATAAACAACCAACGAATGAATCCAGAACCGTATGTTCATCATATAGTCATCATTCACATATATTAAAAGCATCACTGAAGCAGTCAGCCAAACACTGATTAAATGTTTCCACCAGCTGTGGAGCACTCAAGAAATTCTCCACTGGCAGCAGCCTAGCCTTTGGCCAAAGACATGAAAATCAGGGGATGAAGTCGTAACACAGCCAAAGACTGCAGGTTTCAAACTAAACTCGACTTCATTTACATCTCACTGTTGTTGGAAAAAAAACCTTGTATCTCTAAAATGGTAACTTTACAGGAGAAGGAAAAAACCTACTTTACTTTTAATGTAAGTCAATGGAACCAGACTTTTCTCCAAGTCATTTTGGGCCGTTTCCTTTGGTCTGTTCATCATGAAATTTACAGACAATGTAAAGAGCTACAGGCAAATTATGTCAAAAACTGAAAAACGACAAAAATGGAGATACAGGTTTTATTCCGACAGCAGCGAGATGTACTACAAAAGCAGGGCTGCACAATATATTGCTAGGTAATCATAACATTGGCCGATATCACAGAAGGCTGCAATACACTGAAATATGTTCGAGACCACAATCTAATTAAGCTGTGACCGTATAACAGTACTAATTCACTAATATGTAGTCATTTGTCCAGATCCTGCAGCCCTATTTGAAGGGTAAATCTTTAAAATGTCTGCCTACTTAATCATTAAAGCATAAACAAAGTCATTCAGAGTGATTTGATGTGAAACAGTTTATCGTAAAGAAACTGAGTCTTTACTGTGGTGGTGATGGGAATCAGGGCTCATGATGTCTACAGTGCAAATATAGCACTGTATCCAAAACAAAAAGTTTTTACACCGATCAGGCATAACATCATGACCACCTCCTTGTTTCTACGCTCACTGTCCACTTTATCAGCTCCACTTACTATATAGGTGCACTTTGTAGTTCTACAGTTACAGACTGTAGTCCATCTGTTTCTCTGCATACTTTGTTAGCCCCCTTTTACCCTGTTCTTCAGTGGTCAAAACAAAACAAAAGCACAATAAAAAAAATCCAGGGGAAAATTCCACATAACAAGCATTCATATGAAATAAAATCATCTTTATCAAAAGCTAAACTAAAAGACGTGCTTTAAGTCTAGATTACATAATTTTATGGCTCTGAAAAAGCCTTTTTTCCTGCTGTAGATTTGTTGACCAACAAACCTTCATCTTAATAAACAAACACTGTAAAAGGAAACTGATCTGCTTAAATAAAAGGCTGTTAAACTATGTACTGCTTCGTATACCAGCAGTAGAAGTACGTAATCAATGTGAAATCTGAGTGGTGGCCGGCGCACTGCAGCTAAAACAGGTGTAATGTGGTCAGTCTTCTTAACTCTGGTAAGGAAGTCCATTTTAAAGTCCTGCTCTGTCGGCCACTGGTGTCCACTCGAACAAGGCACTCGACCCCAAAGCCTGCTCCGGGGCACTGCACCTTCGCTCACCCTCACTTGCTGTCTCAGATATGAAAAATGCTAATTTCACAATATTGAGCAATAGAGCTTCAATGCCCTGAGCTCAGAAGGCCTTCAGACCTCAGACGTGCCCAAAACAGCAACAGTAAAGCTCAAAGCACAACAGAATGTTATTCATTTAGCTGGTCCAGTTCTCTGTGGGGTCAGACCAATATGAAAATATCACCAATACTGTTAAAAATACTGATAACCAATAATATTGATACAACTTCAGGGTCAAAAATCAAACAGACCACTACAGTTTTACTATGACGGTCGAGTGTGATTTTCTGTTCTTATTTAGAATTTCTTAACATTGGCCAAACAATATATCGGTCAGGACCTGTTTCTGTTACCATATTTCAAGACGGCAGGTGATATTTAAGCCGGGGTTACATTACACGACTTTTCCTCCGATTTTAGCCCCAACGCTCAGTCTGGCCAGGTCTGTGCTGGTTGGCTCTAGTCGGCAGATGTTTGGGTCAGTGGGAATCGACAGTTGGAGAGAGAGTCGAGACGTGTTTGAGGGGCGCAGACTCAGATTTCTTTCCTCCCGATCGCGTTTCAGAGCTGTCAGAGTTGATCAAACATGTTTGATTTTTTTTCGACCCGGCTCTGAGCGAAATCTAGTGTAAACTGATCAACGACTCAATCTGAACGGATTCCTGCAACAACCAACGAAAACTGAGGAAAATGGGGAAAAGTCTCTCACGTGTGGAGCCAAGCTTTTTAATGAGCCGCGTTTAAGGCACAACTGAGTTTATGTACATTTAAAACTCTAAAAACTCCCACACTGATCACATTTTTAAATCCACGATCCTCACTTACACGTTTACCTCCACAATTGTTTATGTGTGTCTCATAGTAAAAGGAGAACGTGAGAGTTCGCGAGAGTTTGCGAGAGTTCAGTGAGCTCCGTTCGGTTCAGCAACAGCTTAAAAGTTGAGTAGTGTGTGATCCTTAATCGTTTACTGCGTGATCTGCAAATACCAGTCGTATAGTATGAGACGCCCAGTCTTTTATAATCGGCTCAGACTGTAAAAGTCGTGGAGTGGCTTAAGATGAATACATTCTATATACACACCAAATCATGTGCCACAGTGGCCCAAAGGCCTTAAAGAAAGAAAGTCAATGGCCTAACCAGTTAAACACTAATGTGTAATGCGTCATTCTTACTGCACTGCTTTCACTTTTCGAGTGACCTTCGGTTCGGTACATTCGCTTATTATATTTGACTGAGTGAAGCGCGTAGTATGAATCATGGACATATAGCACAAGATGTACCAGGCACAGAATAACAAGAAAGTACACCGTACATTCCAGAGTGAGCCTTAGTTATAGCATGTGCAGTAACAAATTACATCAAGCAGATGAACAACCTTCCCTATGACTATTAGTAGGCGATACACTGGGTTATCTGGTGTCCTGGTTAAAATGTTTTATCCAGTATAAAGGCCCAATCCCATTTTACCCTTCGCCCCCTACCACTTAGCCCTTAGCCCTCTGTTTTGCACGTTCACGTCTAGGGGTAGGGTGCAAATTTTCTGTATTATGTGTATTATGGTCGTTTTCTTCATAACAACCCAAAAAAAAAAATCACTAATAGCATGCTAATGTCTCGGTAGCTAGCTAGCTAAATTTCACGTTCCACCTTAAACAGTCCAGCAGTTCTGACACCTAAAGCGCCAGAATGTAACTGCTGCTCCATTTAAGGTGGAATGGGAAAATTAAAACGAGAAGCTGGTGAATATCTTCAGATTCAAATCACCAAAGAATTAGTGGTGGGCGATAATAAATAATTGCCCCTATTTTTAGGCATATGATGCCCTAAATGTAACTAAAGTCCAGCAGTGAGGAGCTGAACTTTACCCTCCTCTGCTGTCACTGCAGACTGGCAGGGTCGCCTACAGAGCAGCGCTGGTAGCTGTTAATGAAGTGATGCTCTTTTTATTTGAGGGTCCCATTTCAGAGGGAAGATTTCAACGTTGTAAGATGGCACTTGAAAACAAGCAGTAGGAGTAAAAATAAGAAATGGGATTGGGCCTTAGTCTTGACATTACCGGCCATACTGGTACACCACAAATTAGCATAGAAAACAACGTACAAACAGACTGGCTAAAGTTGCCATCTCACCCAAAATTCCTATTTCACCTTAAATGTGGCAGCATTGACATTCAGGTGCCTGAACAGGGCCAACATGTAACTACAGCTCCATTTAAGGTAAACTGATTTGTACCAAAACTATCAGAAATTTTAATTATATTGTGATTTTTGACCACACTGCCCATTACTACTGACTGTATAGCATCGTCATCACTCTTACGAAAAACTCAAAGAAATAAACATCTCGGGAACAAAATCTCACAGATTGGCTGCGGACACTAATAGACACCATCAAAGCAGTCTTTGCTTGATTGTTATTCATGAAAGCATTTTTTTTATGCCTTCAAACGCATAAATCATCCTATAAATGGATAGGAAAAAAAAACAAAGCAAAGGCCGAACACCTGTCAGCCGGCCAGACTTCATAAAGGCAACCCGCAGTTTCATCATACCTCAAACTCCTCAGCCTCTATCAGCAGTTTGGCAGTCGTGATTCTGGACTCATACGGTGGGATGATCATCTGAAAATGAGTAAATATGCACACAGTCAGCTTTAAGGTCATATTCTATTGTTTTGTTCATTTTATTTTTCATTGTTTGTTGTAAAAAAGCCACCAGAACTAACAAGTTTCTTACTTTACCAGGAAAAATATTATATATGGTTTGAATTTGGCCATCTTTACCATGATTTGTTCTTGTGCTGGTCACAAGAACTGACCAAGGCAAGAGGGCTGGTGGAGGGGGTTCTAAGCACTAATGTATTACTCACTCAGTGTGTGTCTGCTTTTAAATGTTTGATTTATTTATTTAACCCCCTAAACGGCCAGGCCCTGACGGTAGGCCCAAAGTTTTATCACGCACCTCTATAACCTAAGAATAGCTCAACCAGTTTACATTGATGTCCTTGTAGTTACTGAAGAATAAGCCTTAGTATGTAATAAGCCTGGGATTTTAAGGGGTAACCTTAGTATGTAATAATTAATTAATTAATTAAGTGACCCTTATTAGTCCCACAATAGGGAAACTTCACCTCTGCATTTAACCCATCCGAGCAGTGAAACACCACATACACACTAGTGAATGCACACAAACTAGGGGGCAGTGAGCACACTTGCCCAGAGCAGTGGGCAGCCCTATCCATAGTGCCCGGGGAGCAGTTGGGGGTTGGGTGCCTTGCTCAAGGGCACTTCAGTCACATACTGTCAGCTCAGGGGATCGAACTGGCAACCTTCCGGTCACAAGGCTGGTTCCCAAACTTCCAGCCCATGACTGGCCCATAAACAAATAATAAACAAAACCCAATAAAAAAATTGTAAATTACCAATTAGTATTTTCTCAGTTAAGAAATTCCGACAATCACTGTATTACCTTGGTTTAATGTTGTTTTAATGTATTATGGTCCGTTTCTTCGCAACAAGCATAAAAACGCTAGTAGTATGATGTCTCAGCAGCTAGCTAAATTTCCCGTTTCACCATTTAAGGTGGAACAGGAAAATCGAACGAGAAACTGGTGAATATCTGACTTCAGTTTCATATCACTGAAGAATTAGGGGTGGGCAATAATAAATAATTGCCCCCCTCTTTTAAGTCATATGATGCCCTAAATGTAACTAAAGCCCAGCAGTGAGGAGCTGAACTTCACCCTCCTCTGCTGTCACTGCAGACTGGCAGGGTCTCCTACAGAGCAGCTCTAGTAGCTGTTAATGAAGTGATGCTCTTTTATTTGAGGGTCCCATTTCAGAGGGAAGATTTCAACCACTACCCCTTGCAACTTAATTCCAAGGGGCAAGATGACACTCGAATACAAGGGGTAGGGGTAAAAATAAGAAAGAAGACTGGGCCTTACATATACACTCACATGTAGGACCAACTGGGTGAGCCAGTTTGCTACAGCGCCACCATGGGGCAGATCAGTGCTGCATCTCTAGTTAGTTAAGAATACCAAAGACAGAAGCTGATTGTGGGTGAAGCAGCTAAACAATGACCTTTCCCTGAATTTGTATCGAGGCGTCTGATTTTCCTAAACAGACATCATAACATAATAATAAGTTAATTTTCAGGGACCCCCCAGAATTTTGATTTTGAGACATTCAGGGGGTCCAAGAGGTTAATTAGGAGGTCCCGGACCCCACAAGACCTTCTGCATTTCTCAAATTGGGTCTTAAACTAGATGCACAAAAATGGACTGAAATCCATAACCACAGTTTTCTACCCACACTACAATAAATCAGTTATGTAAGAATGTAAAATTCATAACTTGGGAGCTGTGATGCTTTACAACACAAAAAGACTGCCAAAATGTCAGACTGTCTCTCTCGACAGCTAAGCCATAATTTCAAAGAAATTAGTCAGTAGAGTGTCAAGCAGAGATAAACCCACTTCCTAAATTGTCAATTTGTCAAATACCTAAAAGTGGGTCTCCTTTGAGTGGATCTAAAACAGTCATCAAAAAAGGACAAAACATAAAATAACCATAAAGAGCTGACAGAAGAAGAAAGACATCAAAAGAAAACCCATTCATACTATCAAGACTGCATTTCCCAAAGGTCCCTGTCCAGATCAGTTTGGTCGAGTGTCTATTCTTCAAATGGAATCCATCATTTTTAAGAATTGCAGGGAAAGTCTGGGGATATTTAACAGTCGGCGAGCTTCGCAAAGACCTACTTTTGTACAGTGATGGACACACAGCAACACGAAGTGTCCATTAACTGAACAAAACTGTGGAGTCATAAATGATTCCTCATCGTCTCTGTGGTATTTTCCACTATTCGTCAGGAATTCGCCCTTTTATGTGCAACCTTTCCACGAGCACTTGCTCCTCTTTTGGTACATTAGCGCTTCATCAGAGCGCCGTCTTCCTCTCTGCTGACTGCACTCTTCTGTGCCGTCTCTGGTGTCATCCCTTCTTCAACCGTGTCTTTCCATTAACTGCTTTGGCCTCTCATCTCGTCGCACGTGTTTGATGGTGCGCGAGCGTGCGAACGCGAGAGTGTTGAGCGTTACCTCATCAGCAGTGCACGCGGGTTTTGATAATGACGGCACCAAACCAGGCTGATTCCAATTAGCCCCTGCCTCTCAGACATTTCCACCTCTGTTGCTTTTTATGGGCTTTCAGAATTAGTCCAAACACAAGTTCGCCACCCGGACGTCGTACATGAAGGTCTCTTCAAGTCCTAATTACAAGTGGGTTCTGCTTTGATAACCAAGCTTCTGACGGCAGCTAATTCTTTATTTTCAGTCACCAATTAGGCCAAAGACTTAGGTCCCACTTTATACTAAGTGTCTCTAATAACTGTGTAATTACATGTAAACAACATATGTACAACAACTTAACTACTAATGATTTTGTCAATGTTACAGATGGATTTCAGAAGTACAGCATATGTAATTACACATGTATCAACTTTCAGTTTTGTCTCATGTAATTACAGTGTATCTTAACAGTTGCAACAGTCTATTCTCTTGCATGTAATTACATGTAATAACATAAATGCAATGACATTTGTAATCAGACTGGAACAGCAGTTGTTTTCAGAAATTTCTTTTCCAGCAGCAAAAGGAAGTTGCTGCTGAGACTGGTCCCACTTTATATTAAGTGCCTCTAATAACTGTGTAGTTACACGTGAACAACATATGCAACAACATAACTGCTAATGATTTAGTCACTGTTACAAATGGATTACAGAGCTACACCTTGTGTAATTACATGAGATAAAACTGGAGTTTCTACATATGTAATTACATAAGTGTATCTTAATAGTAATAACAGACTATTCCCTCTCATGTAATTACACAAGGGTAATAACACACGCAATTACATTTGTGATCAGATTGAAACAGCAGTTGTTTTCAGAAGTTACACTTGTGTAATTACATGTCAAAACTGAAGCTGATACATGTGTAATTACATAGGCTCTAATTCTGTAACCCATCTGTAACATCAACTAAATAATCAGTAGTTACACTGCTGTTGCATGTTATTCATGTGTAACTACACAGTTATTAGAGACAACATAAAGTAGGACCGACTTGGGTAGTAGATCTGTAATAAGTAGGTAATAATAAGGTAATATTATGGTCTCAGGCTGCATGTCCTAAAAATATACATGCTATATACATTTTCAGGTTGTAACTATATAATAAGCAAGTAAATGTAACAAGTTGGTAATAAAATGGTCAAAAAGTTTTCTGGTTGTTAATAAAGAACATGATAAAGATAATAAACGTTTTATAGAAGATATATGTGGTTTAGTTCATTTTTATGTGGTTTGGTGGAGTTTTTTCCAATTACCTAAGTAATATCAAAGCCTTTTGTCCGAGCTGTGCTTTACAGCAGAGGAACATGTGATGTTGTATTTTCCAGCCCTGATTCTGTGTAATCTCAGTCTTTACCTCATCTACTCGTGGACAACAACACTTGAAGGTGGACCTACATGCGAAAGCAATAGAGCAACCATGAGTGATTATAATGCAGTAATTTAGTCTTTTCATCGCAATCAGCCACATTATTTCACTGCCGTGTTGTTTTCACCTCATGTGAGATGCAGTAACTGAGAAAACAGGATGGAAAGTTTGCATTTTAGAGCTGCAACAGCATTTAGGTTCACTGTAATTAGAGCCTGTTACTGTGTTAGTACATCTGACTATTTAAAGACATGACTGGTCTGAAACTAAGCAGATATAAGTGAGCTAGTATTTCACAACACTGTCAATTTAGCAGAAATTCTGCAATGTTTTTGTGGAAAAAACCCAAATATGATAAAATCCGATAATGACTTAAAAGAATTGGAGTGATATGTTGAATAAGGAGATATTATATCAGAAGAGCAGGATGTATTTTCCCTTAAAATCGTAGAAAGAACGTACAAAAAAGTCTGCTACCATTATTTTTTCATTTTATATCCCTAACTTATTATAACCTAACTTATTATAACTTTTTAGTTATACTAACCTGGATTACCTAAAAAATAAAATAACCATTAGTATAATCATATTTTAATACCAACAAAACAATTACTAACTTATTACTTATCAACTAGAAGATTAGCATGTCATTTAAAGGTTAGTTTAACTTGTTACTATAATATTACCATGTAATTACCTTATTCTGGTTGATTTCTAAAGCGCTACAGAACTTTGCTTACATTTGTAACCAAATGCTGCATTACCTACATTTGACCAACAGGGAAAAACATTAAGTAACCAAATTAGATCAGGGTAGCTAACTAGCTAATCATGTTTTGACTGGTGCCTAAACCATATTCAAGTGATATAACAACCCATGGTTCGACCTGTATCAGCCAAATTATAGGCAACGATGCGCCAATAGTTCCCACCTTCTGTTGTTGCGGCACCACCACGATTTACAACCTCCTAACAGGCGGGCGAACCCTTAACCGAGGCCTCGTTTCCACTGTAGGGCTGAATGGTTCCAAGTACAGGGGGTGACCATTCAAGTGCCATTTCCACACATACACAGTTCTCTTTGCTCAGGGCTGCAGAACCATTCAGCTGGATGGCGCACTGACGTAGTTATTCACTGACTGGTTCTACGTTCTTGTCAGTATAACGTCACCGTTATTCCTGCATTAGGTAAATCCGAAAATGAGCTCAGTGCAGTATGTGACTTTGGTAACACTTTCTATGAATGTCACCTTTGTAAACATCTATAAACACATTCATAACATGAATAAGACATTATAAACATAGCTATAAATATTTATAAAAATGTATTATACATTATAGCCATGTTTATTATGCATTATGAATTGTTAACATAATACATTATAAGTACTGATCATAACTAATTATAAGAGCTCATAAGTTGTATTTGTCCGCTCTAAGTAAAGTGAAGCGTACTGTACTAAAGCCTCCTCCAGTGTTCAGAGTGAGGCTTCAAGTTGAAGTATTTACTGAAGGATTTACTGAAACACTAAAACATTCACAGTAAAGCACATTACAGGCTTCAAATGTCAGAGTTTAAACTAGTGCTGCCATCAGTGTTTTACCCAATGTGGGAAATGTAATGTACACCACCGTTAGCTTGATATATGTCTTTACTTTACGCTCTCCAAGCTGGGACTGACTTCTTTGGCACTGACAGTATAACATGTTATTAACACTATTTATAATTCATTATATTAACAATTCATAATGTATAATAAACATGGCTATAACGTGTAATTCAGTGCAATTCTTTTTTATAAATATTTATAACCATGTTTATCATGCCTTATGAATACATTATAACATGTTATAAATGTGTTTATAGATGCTTACAAAGGTGACATTCATAGAAAGTGTTAACGTGACTTTCAATCCATTGGTCAATAAATGTAACAACTAAACGTTTAATCATGCTGTTACTAGAAGACAGAAGCTGGTTCTGATATGGGATACACTTATTGTAATGTATATATTTTATAGATATATTTTTATTAGCTGCTCGACTGGTTTAGCGGTACTGTAAATATGTATTCCAGTACTTCTTCAAAGCTGTACTTAACTCCCACTGCACATTCTTTATATTGTTTGTTCTTTATTGTGTACTGTTTACTTTTTGTGCACACTGTTAGAAATAAAGGTTCTGTGCAGGTACACTTCACTGATCAAGGTACAAACAATGTAAACGTTCCCTCAAAGGTACAACAGTGGTTGGAAGGTCCGACTGCGCACCTTAAATAAGCTTTTCCAGATGAAAAATACCTTTTCATAACCTAATGTACTGAGATGTACCCTTGAGGGTCCCGCCCCAGTGACAGTTTAGTACCTTTTTTCTGAGAGTGTTTGTACCATATCGTCGCTGTCCAAAGAAAAACAAGTAAAAATAGTAACTTTACAGAAACTTTTACAGAATTTTTACAGAATTTTTACTCCAACAAGGCAAAATATAAAGAATTTTCATTCCAAGTGATTTAGAGCATTTCTGTTTGTCCACTGATCATGAAATTTTCACACAGCTGTAAAGGACAGCAGGTGTGCTGAAATGATGTGCAAAAATAATCAATAAAATTAGAGATACATGGTTTTGATTGGGAACAGTGACCTTTGTGGACAGGATATCTTTGCTATATATATTTTATTGGATTTAATTTTATGTTGACACCTGCATCAAAGGAAAATTCTTGGCGAATACAGATTTCTGATTTTAATGGCAACTGTAAACAGGGCACGGTACTAAAACGGCATGTCACATATGTATCTAAACAAAACACGTTTATTTTCTTTCTTTCTTTTCTTTTGAAGAGAACTATTTAAGCAGTAGAACACTTGAGGTCATGTGTTATCATGAAATAACATCACGGCTGTGATTTGGCCGCAGATCATCACAGCCGTGATGTTATTGGCGATAACACACTCCTCGAGTGTTCTACTGTTTTTATACAACAGTTAAATAAATACAGTAATAAATTAATAAACTGGGCCGTGAACGCGGCGTTTAATATGTTTTAATGTTCGCAGTTCCTTCACCAAATTATAGTTCCTTATCAAGCAGCTTGTTGCTACGTCAGAGTAACGAGCTCCGCCCACTCGCTGCACAGCCGGCAGTTCGTTCTCCAGCTCCACACAGACCAACTGACAGTTTGGGAATTTAGTGTCGTCTCATCTTCAGAGTCTGACCAAATCGGCTGTCGGTCAAATGTGATCTTAGAAGTGTTCATTTTCTGTTTGTGCAGAAAACAGGAAGTAAAAACGTTCAAATGGCTTGAGCGTCTCCTACAGCTGTCAAAGTCGTTGCCTAGCAACGGCGTCTCAGCGGAGTGATAGTGTTTGTGAAATGCTCTGGTGAAATAACAGCACAGTTAGAACGCTTCTCAACCAATCAGCTTGCGTGGCCGTAACTAACTGTTGTATAATGTAAAATATACAACATAATTACGACTTTACATAAGATTAGAAACGTAATATTATATCCACCAACATTCTGGGTTATCTGAATGTTTAGCCCCTTAAAATCATTATCAGCAACACACTTTTTCATACCAGTTTGGGACAATTTCTAACAGAGAACATGAACACAATCACTTCATAATCATAAATTTATGCTTCACGATTAGCAGACTGAAGACTCTTCATCAGAGGGCACTATTACCACTCCAACAGCTTTTGTGTGCATCGTTCGAAGCTGGCATACTAAAACAACACACTGTAAGTGACTGCAGGCTACACTTGAATGTACACACTGATGTGTGGCTTTCGCTCGTTGAGAGCACCTTCAACAAACTTGTGGAAAACAGAAACTCCCAGGAAAGAGTGATGCTTCGCATCAACGATGCTGTGTGTTCTCATTACAGAAAGCACACGGGATGCAGGGCAACCCTGCTTCAACGCTCCGCAGCCTCATCCCTGCGGCGGACAAGCTCCCCAAACCCTGACAAAAATCAATACAGGAATAAACAAGCACTTTTATTAATTTGCTCCTCAAGCAATTTCAGGTGAGCAGCGGTTCATTTCACGGTGACTCCACTTTACAGACAAGCCGAAAAAACTAATTTGGGTGCAGAAAGCCAAGTGCATCCATTTAGGGAACACAACACTCGGTAGCCTTGAGGAAAACGTTGGGTATTTAAGTTTCATAAGAGGAAGGCTGTCTGCGTGAGAGGACAGGGTCAAGAAGTGTGTTTGTGAGTGTGTATGGCCGAGGGGCCTGCCTCGCAGCGTGCCACAGGGCTCGAAATGAAAGGATTAGTCTCCACCTCTTTTCCGTTCCCTCGCTCCGTCTGAAAACTCATTTCAAAGTTCAAGGGAGCTTCCTGGAGGACTGCTTTTTTTGTTTGGCCACCGGAACAGGAGGGACAAGGAAGGCCCACCATCAAACTCTCTTGTGCTCGTAAACCAAACAAAACATGCCACGGAATTTCTTGATGGCTTAACGACTGAACAGCTGAGATATTCACATGTTTGTTTTTATACAGTGTGAGGACATGAGCCAAGTCACAAACGTACAGCGTGATTCAAAAAGATTCAGCCGATTTCAAAATGATTCATTTCACTTGTAAATCATTACAGAACAGTGCAGTAAACTGTAAACAGTTTAAATGAGCATAAAGTTTATTACGTAATTTTACAAGTACTCAATATGAACCTCCTCTAGCTGTACGGACAACAACAACGTCATCGCACGAACAACACCAACCGTACTCCATTGAGCGGGTCGGGTGTCACTGCACTCACGACTCGTTCAATGTGATTTCAGAGATCATCCAGTGTTGGATCAGCCTCAACAACTACAAAGAAACTGGCATTTTCAGCTTAGAAAAAGCACAATTTTGTTGACCTTGACATCGTAGTTCCGTCTTGTTTTCCTTTGTTTTGTTTCTACAAAGTTGCAGTGTTTTCTTATGAAAATATACAGAAACAAAGACACACACAAACACACCTGTGCCGGCTCTTCCTCTTCATCAGGCTGCTCCGCACTCGCCAGGGACTCTTCTTTCTTCTGTAGACTCGGTAACCATGACGACACACTCTTTATCAGGTAGTCACGGCCCTCCTGAAAAACAAAGCCACAATGCACAAGTCATGTATCTATTTTGCAATTACTTTCTGCTTTTCAAAACCAGATGCAACCGGCATTGTTTGGCCTAAACCAACACAGGCCTCTCTGTTGTGTCTCTTCATTCTTTCACTGAGAGTGAGGTGAGGAACTGGAGAGAGCGAGACGAGAGAAAGAACAGATGGAAATTAATGGGGACAGACATTTCCCTGAGAAGGAAGCGTTCTTACCATAATAAAAACATGGTGCCATTTTAAATCATTTATTTATTTTCACTCCTGGTTCCTTAAAAACAAGCAGCGAAGTTCTGTCAAAAGTGTGGATTTTGGATTTTGAACTTTCAATCCAGACCACACTTGTTTCGAGGCAGAAACAGAGATATTCTATTATGATGATGAATTTGAAGCGTTTCCTGCCCCTAAAAAATCATTTACTTTTTGGCTATATTGTCACTCAGATCAAAACACAGAGAGGAACATCAGAAGTATATCAGAAGTAAATGTAATTCAATATGTGACTTTCATGAATAATGCAATTACATATTAAATTGAAATAATATAGCAAAATTACAGTAATAAATATATTCTAAGGTCATCCTTCTCAGTCCATTTAACAGCACCTGAATTAAAACAAAGATTTTGCAGCTTAATATTTGTAATTTGTTTATCTTCTTGGGGGAAGGGGGGTTGCCACTTCATTAAGCCCACCTCCTTGTATCTGAACTCTGCCCACTTTATAAGCTCCACTTACCATATAGGCACATTTTGTAGTTCTACAGTTACAGACTGTAGTCCATCTGTTTCTCTGTGTACTTTGTTACCCTGTTCTTTAGTGGTCAGGACCCCACAGGACCCTCACAGAGCAGGTACTATTTGGGTGGTGGATCATTCTCAGCACTGCAGTGACACTGACATGGTGGCAGTGTGTTGTGCTGGTACGAGCGGATCAGACACGGCAGTGCTGCTGGAGTTCGTCCTCTTACTGTCACAGAAGACGAGATGATGTAAACGTGACGTGACATAAACGTGACGTGACATAAACGTGACGTGACGTAAACGTGACGTAAGGTAGCATCGCTCCAAAAGTGTTTTGCTGCGTCTCACGGCAACGCTGCTCACTTATTTCCGGTAGAAATCCGAAAGAAATCAGACTAAGAGTTTACATGCACTGAGAAATCTGATTACTGCGCTAAAATCCAGCCTCTTCATCAGATTTCTTAATCAGATTTCTAGATGGGAGTATGGTGATTACATGACCATTTGAATAATCAGATAACTGCAGAAATCTGATTACGATCGGATCATTGAGTGCATGTAAATCAATGTTGCGCGGCCTATGTTTACATTCATCTAAAATGTCTGGGAATTGATTTGCTGAGTCTTCAGCTGACATCATCTGTGCTCATCTTGCAGAACCCAATAAAACTACTCTAAGCTACAAGCACTTACAATAATTTTGAAAGCACAATTCACACAGAAATAATGCGACCACTGGACAATCCTTGCAAGTCCTTGGACGTATTGCAGTGGTGGGCTGAATCTGCATGACTCTCTGACTGCAAACTCCTACAGGGACCGACTGTCCCTGTTCCACCTGCAAAGAGCAGTCTGGACAAATCTGGAGCTTAAACAGAAGCGAAGTCTGCTGCGCTGGCTGCTCGTGTTTGCCTAAGACCAGTTTGCCACCTAGTGGCTGAAAGAGGTACTGCGGCGCAACGGCTTTACCTCAGGCTAGAGTGAATTGGTTATGTGGTGTAATATCTTAGACAAGCGCTCTCAATTAAATTGGCTAATATATTCTCAGACATGACCCAGCTAACACTCTCTCTCTCGCAGTCTTTCTCTCTCTCGCTCACCCCCTGTTTCTCTCACAGAGTTACACAGCTCGTTTCTGAGTGCTGCTATGGGGCCCTTTGCTGATTAAGACTTCGTAATTAAAAGTGCCCCCTTAAATTAATGAGCCTCAACTATGCCAATGTCATCCCACACCCATCAAAGCGCACCGATGAGAAGAATTTATGGAACATCAATAATACTGATGGGTGGTTAACAGCTGGCTAGAATTCCATTCACTTCTAATGCTGCTAGCGAAGTGAACTGAAAAGATAAACGGTCAGTGGGTGCGATGTGAGAAGAGTCGTGGAGGCGTACCTCAGATTTCTCCACGCTGAACAGGTAGCTGGCCATTAGCTGGAGAGCTTCGGGGTTGTGCTGGTCATAGTGCAGAGCTTTCTCAATGGCCTCCTTACAGCGCTCAGCTGCTCCCTCCTCCATACTGTCAAAGAATATTTATACAGCATAACTACAACAGTTACACATCCTTCTTCACAGATTTAGGTAACAGCATAAAACTGTATGGTTACGTCTTTTTGAGCAATGAATGACCAGAGGCCGGATTCACGATGGTGTCTTTAGAAAGAAAACCTTCTTAAAGGGAAATCGATTTTGCAAAATTACTCAATCAGTCAATGGTTTAGATCAGTCAGAGTGGTTCGGTGTGAAATGCGCCTTTCTAGAGAAATTTACTGAGTCAGAATTGTTCACCATTATAGTACTAGGAACCAGGCGTCCGATGCATTTAATGGCTCTAAAAGCTACATCCCATTAAGTTACTACACAAACAGTTCTAAATGTGTTGCTTGATACCCGAGACATTGTTTTGTGATAGTTTTGTTTTAAAGTTTTGGCCTAAAATGTATTTTTTAATACAACCTATTACTCTCTATTAGCTTGTGGCTACTGCAATTCAACACGGCTAACGTCGGTGTTATACCCGAATTGGTTTCCCCTCAAATTCACATTCCCTTTGACAAATCAGATTTGAGTCACTTAGCTAAACGAGTGTGAACCACTGCATTCACATTAAAGGCCTCATTGCTCAAATCCGATCTCTCTGACAGGATGGTTCACACTCGTTTAGGTAAGTGGTTCAAATCTGTCATTAATGTGATGAACCGGCGTCCTGAAATGACCCTCCTGAGCTCATCCTACTCAGTAACGTCACGTGAATGAATCACGTGCATCACCAGCACAAACTAACGAGCAGAACGAGCTTCGCTGAGAAGATCATTAACTCTGATCAGCTCTCAGCTTCATTATTAGAGCGAGACGAAGGAGAAAAAGGTGAGATGAGCTGCTTTTCCACCGTTTACAGGCTTTAACTTCTGTTCGGCGCTGCTGCCATGGTAACGCTGAATGATGGGGCAGCGCAGTGGAAAAAAGCACATAAATTCCGATCTGAGCGTCACATTAAGGTCGCATGGCCATGAATCGGATACGTATCCGATCTACGACCACATATCAAAGTGGCTCAGTTCGGATTGAAAAGATTAAATTTGTGTCCACACAGCTCTGAAAAAAGCAGATCTGAGTCACATTAGAGCAAAAAAAGGGTTTGTCCACTTCAACCTGGTAATGTGAACGCAGCCTGAGTGTTTTAAGAACTTTAGCAAGTTTTTCTTCAAAAAGTTTTCTTGAATCCAGAAATCTGTGACATCACCAGTGTGGAATTTTTGGTTTTGTTTTATATGTCAGCCATGAGACCCAGAGCTGCCGTACACGCCCTGTTAGCGCAAAATGTCCACAAAAACACGCTATCCTTGTTTATCATCCATTAACGTACCTAACATTGATAAGTGAATAGTTTCCTGGCAGGTCTCACGTACTTGTAGACGTGTAAATTGTGATCATTAAGCGTGTGCAGACTTCGCTCATGGTGCTAATACTGCCCTGATGTTTTGCTCACCTTCGTCATGGTTTGTTTCATCGTTTTGCTTGTCTACTTCATAGTACACTGATGCTCTATCTGCACCTCCACACACGCTCACGTACATATAGCAAGTACCAAAACTATCATGTGAAAACTACAACTGCGTCAAGTAATTCCATCCGACATGGTAACTTCAATGTTTGCTCAAGGTGCTGAAATTAGGGCATCTGAAGGTAATTTCATTATGCTGATTGCTTCAATTGTATTCAACTGTGGGCAGCTGTGGATTTTTTTGGTGTTGTTTTTTCTATTGCAGTGTTGTTCTGTCATTCTTTATTCTTTATGTCCCGGCCACAGCATGAAGGCTGAAGAATCTGTATGTGTTTTCAAGCTTACGGCAATCAAACAAATGCATGCTATGGCATTCTTTAAGGTCCAGAGCAGAATACCAGCAAAAGGTTAGTTTCCAGGCCTTTCAAGGAACACAGTATTAACAGCACAACGGTATTCTGCACAGATCCCTGCCACCGAGGGTCACGGAAACAGGTGTATATAAGCATGCATTTCAGAGCTCAGTACAGACTGGAATGTATGTTGCATGACAACAGACTGAGACTGGGTTGCTGTCGAGATGGACCAAGAATAAGGAACGTCATCACCACAACCGGGTCTCCTGACTCCCTTCGTTAGCACAGAAAAGACATCAGATACGGCGAATCAAAGAAACTCCACAGTTGTACAGTTAGGGTTCTGGTCCTGCTGTAAGGTGATGCGTTAGCCATAGTGTTTAAAGGACTTTAGCTGGATCTGAGCACCTAAAAGGAAATTCCACAAATGTTTCAAAATAATTAAAGCTACACTATGTAAGACTTGAGGATTTGGGCTACGTTCACATTACCAGTCAAATCCGATTTTTTGCTCAAATCCAATCTCTCTGACACGATCGTCCACACTCAGTTATGTAAGTGATTCAAATCTGTCATTAATGTGACGAACCGGCGTCCTGAAATGACCCTCATGAGCTCATCCTACTCAGTAATGTCACGTGAACGAATCACAATCATCATCAGCACAAACTAACGAGCAGAACGAGCTTCGCTGAGAAGATCATTAACTCTGATCAGCTCTCAGCTTCATTATTAGAGCGAGACGAAGGAGAAAAAGGTGAGATGAGCTGCTTTTCCACCATTTACAGGCTTTAACTTCTGTTCGGTGCTGCTGCCATGGTAACGCTGAACGATGGCGCAGTGGAAAAAAAAAGCACATGAATTCCGATCTAAACGTCACATTAAGGTCACATGGTCACAAATTGGATACGTATCCAATCTAGGACCACATATGAAAGTGGCTCAAGTTGAAAAGATCAGATTTGTGTCCACACAGCCCTGAAAACATCAGATCTGAGTCACATTAGAGCAAAAAATCAGATTTGTGCCACTTCAACCTGGTAATGTGAACGTAGCCTTGGAGACCTCTCTGGTGGAAATGTGTAACTGCATGCAACGTGCAGAACAACATCCTGTGATGTCATTGTTTCAGACTCCTTCCCAGAGCAGACAAATCTCATGATTGCAAGCATGTTGCACGAGTCTTCAAAGAGAACTCAAAGTGAATTTCTATGACTCTCATCATATCTTCATCAGAATAATGCTGAATTTTGCATGCGAGACCAAAACATCGAGCCCAACCTTCTTTCTGAGCCTGTGCATTTGACGCTTACGCATAAAGACGCATGACATGGCTCGAAAAACTCCTGTGAAATCTGACCTGACAGCCCCGAATCATTACGATGTAAACGCAGTCATTCGGAGTGGTTTGGTGTGAAATGCTCCATTTTAGAGAAACCTGAGAGTCAGAATTGCTCACAGAGGTACCAGATGTCTGAAGCACTTCATGCCTCTCAAAGCCGTCTCACAGAAAGTTATGACATGAAATGGTTAGGAATATGTTGCCCATTCCTGAGACCCTGTTTTATGATGAGGTTTGAACCTAAAACATATTTTAATAACTTCATGGCGGAGATGATATACATGCAGGGCATTGTAAGGCAAAGATTCCCCCCAAAATTTCAAATTTACAATTACTTTATCAATATTGACATCACATATGTAAAACTCATGTGGGCTCGCTGGTTAGTCTGGATAGCATATACAAGGCTATATTTTATATATATACACACATACATACACACACATATACACACCGATCAGGCATAACATTATGACCATTATGTCCTTGTTTCTACGCTCATTGTCCATTTTATCAGCTCCACTTACTATATAGGTGCACTTTGTAGTTCTACAGTTACAGACTGTAGTCCATCTGTTTCTCTGCATACTTTGTTAGCCCCCTTTTACCCTGTTCTTCAGTGGTCAGGACCCCCATGGACCCTCACAGAGCAGGTACTATTTGTGTGGTGGCTCATTCTCAGCACTGCAGTAACACTGACGTGGTGGTGTGTTAGTGTGTGTTGTGCTGGTACGAGTGGATCAGACACAGCAGTGCTGTTGGATATTTTTGGTTGGTGGAGTAGTACCTGCTCTGTGAGAGTCCATGGGGGTCCTGACCACTGAAGAACAGGATAAAAGGGGGCTAACAAAGTATGCAGAGAAACAGATGGACTACAGTCTGTAACTGTAGAACTACAAAGTGCACCTATATAGTAAGTGGACAATGAAACAAGGTCATAATGTTATGCCTGATCGTTACATACATACATATACATACATATATATATATATATATATATATATACACATACACACACACACACACACCATATCTCCAAAATGGTAACTTTACAGGAGGAGGAAAAAAAACCTACTTTTAATGTAAGTCAATGGAACCAGACTTCTTTCTCCAAGTCATTTTGGGCCGTTTCTTTTGGTCCATTTATCATGAAATTCATACACTATGTAAAAGCCAACAGGCATTTTCAAATTATGTCAAAAACAGAAAAACAACAAACAGCAGTGATATATATCTCACCATCACCACCACTGTAAAGAAATATGAGCCAGTATGTTTTTCCACAATGCACCATTTCACATTAACCACTCTGAAGGACTTTGTTCACATCTAATAGATCGAATTATGCAGTGGAATTCCCTTCAAGATGCTTCTGTTCGCGTCAAAAATCATCCTGCAGTCCACAGCCACATCATCAACAAAGATGAGCTGTCCAGTTCCACTGCAGCCACCATGTTTTAGAGACAGCATGGCGTGCTTTGGATCACGAGCAGTTTCTTTTAGACTTCATTTCCTTGCTCTTTCCATCCCTCTGCTATAAGTTAATCTAATGGACAAATAAGATGACCGTTTTAAAGCCGTGCTAGCTGGTCATTCTGATCTTGAGGCTTAATCAACAGTGGTTTGCATCTTGCAGTGAATCTTTTAAGCCCATGTTGGAGGATTCTTCTCTCCATGCTCCTGCCTGGCAGTTGAAAATGGGTTTTTCTTCTTGATTAAAATTATCCTTCATCATCCACTACTGTGGTCCTCCACGGCCCAGGTTGTTTGCTTCTGCTAAGCTCATCTGGGTGTTCCTGCTTCTCAACAACATACAGAACATTTGATTTTGACACATCTAGGGCCAGTTTTCTAGACACAGATTAAGCCTAAGCCTAGACTTAAAAGAACTTTGGATGGCGATTCACCACTGGTGCTGCAATTTAGTCTAGTTTTTATAACCAAGCTTGATCTACGTCTGGGAACCCAGCTGCTTTTTTGCTGTTTTGACTAGGTACTGACTGATTCACTCATGATAGCCTGCTTCACTAGCATGGACCCCTCTTTGATCCTCAAAGAAGAACCCACTCCAGATGTAGCTAGCTGCAAAATAGAGACTATAACCCACTCAACTGCTTAATAACTGTACTGTCCGTGTTTTCAATGCACTCGGGACCAGATTGATGTTAACTATTATGGACAATAACGGAAATAAACCGTAGGTTCTTTTTGGCCAAGCGGACTACAGCTTTTTTTGCCCAAGTGCAAATTGGGAGCTATTATCCAACCCATGATTGGTAGCCTTTCTGGGTTACCAAGGGCTTTGTGTGGGGCTGCAAGTAGATTCAGGATATAAACTCCTGTTTGCGCAATCCGCTGCCACCCTAAGCTATTGGCAGTAAAAATGTGTCAGAACAGTGCCTCTAGTGGATCTGAGGTCCAGCATCGGCTGTCTATATTACCAAGCTACATGCTCAGTAGCCGTCATTTCACTACAGCAATTCCAACACTTTGAGAAACGTGTTTTATCACAGCTCTCTTCGCACAGCAGATTGACTTCTAGTCAACCGGCTAGTGATAGTAGGTCAAGATGTCTGGATATATAATCATGAAGATAGTTTGCCATTAATTTTTTCAGTTCAGGCTGGTGGGAACATGCAGTTAAACCCCTGTAGGTGAGTCACAGCGGTAATGCCAATCCAAAAGCAAAGGCATTTACAGTTAGTTTGTTCCCTCCATTTGCTGTTAACAGCCTCCACTTTTCTCCTAAAGCCCTCCAGTAGGCTTTGGAACATGGCTATGAGGGTTCCCCTCCATTCAGCCTTAAGAGTATTAGGCTACGTTCACACAGCAGGTAAAAGTGGCCCAAATCTGATTTTCTCACCAAATCTGATTTTTTTTCTTCGGCTGCTCAGATTATCTTTTAAATGTGATCTGTATGTGACATCAGTCTGAACAGATCAGCTCCTAAACTGAGCCGCATGCGCAAAAGAACAATCTTCACGCTGCTTCACGGCTCATCCAGAGGTAAACAATCATAACTGCCAATGAACGCCAGTCGCTCCCGGAGGATCAGCCTCATCTTCACCAGCATCACAGGAGCCATCATGAAGCTTCACTCACTGACAGCTGGGCTCATCACCCAGAATGTGTTCGAGCCGTAAAAAGGGCGCGGTCACTTCTTTGGTTCGCGTCCTCGGATTCTTTAAACTTTGCTTTGAGACTTTTAACTGTTCTCTGACGCTGCAGCCTCGTTCTCCTGCGGCCGCGTTCGGACATTTCTTTCTAAATCTCTTCGAACCCAGAGAGGTTTGGATGAGTCTCTTCTAATTTTTTATACAGAAACATCAGCCTAAATGTTTATGAGTCTCAGCAGCGCGAAATTATGACGAATGCCGAGTTGGATTGACGTGAAGGTCTCATGAATTCCGATCTGGCTGTCCAAACTGAGTCATACTGCTGCATGTCGGATACGGATCGGATTTCAGTACCACATATGAAAGAGTCCCAAATCAGAAATGAAAATGCCAGATTAAATGTGTTTTTGCTGTTCACACCGACACACAGACACATCTGTGTCACATACAAAGAAAAAGATTTGGTCCACTCCAACTTTTGGGCCACTAAAAACTGATCATCTCGTACCAGCACAACACACACTTACACACCACCACCACCACGTCAGTGTTACTGCAGTGCTGAGAATGATCCACCACACTAATAGTACCTGCTCTGTGAGGGTCCATGGGGGTCCTGACCACTGAAGAACAGGGTAAAAGGGGGCTAACAAAGTATGCAGAGAAACAGATGGACTACAGTCTGTAACTGTAGAACTACAAAGTGCACCTATATAGTAAGTGGAGCTGATAAAATGGACAATGAGTGTAGAAACAAGGAGGTGGTCATCATGTTATGCCTGATCGGTGTAATTTCTATCACATATAGGTAAAAAATGTAATCTGATTTAATTTGCTCATTTCAAGTATTACTAGTCCTCCGTCCTACACTTGATAAGATCGACTGCATATCATAGTAATTAAATCTTCCTTCCCACTTTTGCTTGATCTCCGATTGTATCTCGCCTCTCATAATAGGTGTCCTCCAAACTGTTGTATCCAAGGTGGCACAGAATAACCTTCACGTCAGCATATCAAGTGTGAGAAGATAAAAAATGAGCATGTGTGCAAAAGAATAGCAGGAGAAAGAGGGACTGATAAGAAAGTGCATAAGTAAATGAGAGGAGAGAGGAGGACGGGTAACGAGAGAGATGCAACCAGGAACCAAGAACAATGGATTGAAACAAAGCAATAGAAGTGCACAGAGAAGGAGGGTGGAAGAGAGAGAGAGGGAAATGAAGTTGAAAAATGAAAAAGGAAAGAAAAAATTACCAAAGATCGGTGAAGAAAATCTCAGCGATGGAGCAGAAGGCTACAGACACATCCTTCATGCTAACAGAAGGCTCCGAGGGCATGGCAGCTGCTCCCATATCACTGGCCTAGCAAAACACACACATACAAACACGGAGGATTATGCGACTGTCACTGCCAAATCAATTCATTCTCAGACCTTTAAGAGGCTTCAGAAAGATGTGACAGTCAGGTATCGGCCCACGTACAGACACTTAAAGAGTACGAGGCGTGAAAAGGTGTTAAAACTGGATTTTAACTACAGAATGATCCATTTTACTGATCTTCATCTCGTATTAATTAAGCGTACAGATACAGTCTATACAATAGCCATAGTCAGTTGATCCCATTCCTAGAAATCCTCTGTCCAGCAAAGGTTGGTTCCAGCTCATATCCAATACAGCTAACCAACTTTTCCACCTTGTCATTATATTCTGAGGGTCATGACAAGTTAGATTACATCGTCTGTAAAACAAGCTCGTATTATTCAATGCGTGTGTGACATGATGTCAAATGTTTATTAATAAAACTGTGAGAATTCCACTGATTTTCCATGTTTCTGCATCATTAAATCATTCAGAAGTAAAGTCATTCAGAGTGGCTTGATGTGAATCGTTCACTGTATGGAAACTTACTGACTCGGACTTTTCTTACACTACAATGGTAGTGATAGGAACCAGGAGTTGCAATGTAATGTAAATATAGGCATTTTATTTATTATAAAAACAGTTCTTAATATGTGATGTTGACAATGTTGATGATGGTAAAATAATAGAAATCTGAAAAAAAATACATTTTAAAAGACATTTTAGACCAAACACAAAACAGCAAATGCATTTACATGCACTTAATAACCTGATAACTGCAGAAAATCTGATTTTGTCAGTACACTTGAGTAATCAGATAATGGGGAAACTTCGGGTCTAGATGACTCAGGCAGTAATTAGATTTCTGCTTTGCAACCAGCCAATAAACTCACAGAAGACGACGAGATATAAATGTAACGTAAAACTCAAACTTAATGCTGCGGATTTTTTTAAAAACATCAGACCATTTTGCCTGAAATATGAAAATACATCATCTAGAAGACAAAGAATATTTTAATCCTTAATTTCGTCAACCATGTATTTGGTTTCAGTGTCTCGCGGCGACGCTGCTCGCTTATTTCCGGTACTGCGGTCTGTTTCGCACATGCGAAGACTGAGAAATCCGAAAGAAATCAGAGTAAGAGCTCACATGCACTGAGCACTATCGGCTTTCTTAATCAGATTTCTAGACTGGAGTATGGTGTTTACATGACCGTTTGAATAATCAGATAACTGCAGAATCCGATTATGATCAGATTATTGAGTACATGTAAACACACTCAATGACTCAGGCATCAGGTAGTATATATGTGATGGAGCTTTTAGAGGCACTAAACCCCTCAGACATCTGGTTCCTATCACCACCACAGTGAATTAATCTGACTCCCAAGTTTCTATGAAACTGTGCATTTCACATCAAACCACTCTGAATAATTTTATCATCTTAACGTAACGTAATTACATATTTTTCTGTGTACAACACAATTACGACGTGATTAAACAAAACGTTAAAAAAAGAAGGAAAAACATTTTAAACTGTACCTCCTGGGTCTGCTTGTCTATGACATTGAGCATGACCTCGAGGCCTTTGCTGAAATACTGCACAGCCTCCATACCCGTGTGGATCTGCCCCAGGTACATGTATTTGCTGTGGCCTTCCTCCGGACTCAGCTCCACTGCCTTCAGAAAGACGTACGCTGCTGTCAAGGAGCAAAGCTCTTTCGTTCATCACACACAATCTAACACAAATCGCCCTGCAGAAAGCTACATATTCAGTCGACGGAGCTGCTGCCAGGCATGGCTTTACGTCCACCTGGACAGAACACGTTTCAGTGTTTCTGCCACATCACCACACCGGCCAACGGGTAAGGATATTTGTTTGGCTTTATCCATGTCTCCCAGCTCAGCACAGATGTTTCCCAGCATGTCCAGAATGGTCAGGTTGGTAGGCTCGATGTCCAGGGCACGCTGACAGAACATCTTTGCCATGGGAAAGTCAAAGTTGTCCATACACTCCTCTGTCTGAGAGAGAGAGAGAGAGAGAGAGAGAGAGAGAGAGAGAGATAGACAAAGTGTAGTACAACACCAACCACATTATTTACTAAAAACATCTCACTCTACTCAACAAGCTGATGGAAAATCTCCGTTTACACGCTTACTACAAGTAATCAGATCCAAAATGACGCGCATCCATAGAGAACCACTTAGTGTAGACGTTACCATGACAACGAGCATCACGTGAGTCCAGTCAGAGTGAGATGAGCAGCAGTGAGCAGTGCTTGTGTTTTTAATTGCTTTAAAATGATGTCAGACTCAGGAAAACGTCCTTCACATGTCCTTATTAAAGAAGGCCGAGAGGAAGACGTCGTGTTCTGAGACACATAAGCTGGACGTCCGTCCCACCGCCGTCTTTTAAAGATCAGAGCATAAACTTCGTCTCCTCTGCAGACCAGTTTCTGCTCCGCCATGTTGAACGGTATAAACTTTCACTATGACGCGACGAACATGATCAGAACAGACTTAAACTTTCCGATAGGGAATGTAATCAGATACAGGCGTTTACACGGATATTATTCTTCTATTTAACTGATTATTTACAGGATTACCCACCTCGTTCAGTCGGATAGAAACTGTATTCCTGAATGGCCTCAATCGGACTAGACTATTCCGACTGAGATGTTCACATGGACGTATTCTATTCCAAATGAGCTATTAGTCGGATTATTAACGGATTATTAGGCTGCCAGGAAATGTGGCTAATGTGCTTCATGGAAAATGGGTATTCTTCCATATATGCATGTAGTCTCATTAATAAGCTGTGCAACATGGACATTTTTCTTCCTCAATTTTTTTCAGAGTTACTCCTTTAGAAGACACTACCTACAGCACTGTGCAGAAGTCAGAAATCAGCCTTCATTTATTTTTACCTCCCAGGCAAAAGAACTAATAGTTTACTCCCATTTCAGCATTAGGAAAAAAGAAAAAACCAAGTTTTCCATAAAATTACACAGAAACCTCAACAACTAAATATACTACCAGATTTTTCAGTAGTTTGTGTCCAAACTTTTTGCCTTATTACAGCTTTTTCCAAAGAAACCTAGAGGAATGTTTTTTCCACATTTCTGAAGTTTAGCCATAGAAGTTGGTGGTATTTTCTGCTTCTCGCAATCCAAATAATCCCAAATACATTCAGTGATGCTGAAGCGAGGATCATTGTCCTGAGAAAGAAAGCAGCTTCTTTGTTTGATTTACAAAGGTGGTTCTTTTTTGATATTTTATTGTTTGTTATCCAGTGTGGACCACAGGAGGATGGGTTCCCCTTTGGAGTCTTGGTTCCTCTCTAGGTTTTTCCTCTTGCTCTTGGGGAGTTTCTCCTTGCCACTGTTGCAGCTGGCGATGCTCATGGGGGCTCGGACCTGGATTTTTTTTTGTAAAGCTGCTTTGTGACAACGACTCTTGTCAAAAGTGTTACGTAAATAAACTTTCACTTGACTTGACTGTTTCCTTTTACTCAGTAACAGCTTCTTGACAGCTACACATCCCTCACTGAGTCTTCTCACAGTGGAAGGATGGACAGAAACACCTGAGGATGTTTTCAGATCTGAAGCAGCTTGATTTTCTCCTCTCTCTCAGAGATGAAAGCTTTAAGTGCCGTTTATCTGACGGGGGCAGTTTTGGAGGTTTACTAGAGCTTACAGTGTGGTCCCATTTCTCCGAATCATATTTGAGCTCCAGTTTTGGGAACTCCTGCTTTTCACTTGTTTTCCTTTGACTTCCCTTTTCATATGCAAGTGATCTATCTTACCTCTAATCTCCTCAGAATCTCCTGAAAAATGAATGAGCTGTTTTGACTGGAAATTAAATTAATGAAGGGTGGTCTCTGACTGCTGCACAGACAGGGACCAAATCCATGCATCACTGACAGCTGACAGAAATAGGTTGTCCTTGGGCTCAAAATTTGACAGTTGGGGAGTTAACTCGAGGCTGAGAGCTGACCTCAGCACTTGAAAAGACTCCAACAATGAAAAAAGTCTGCAACAGCGATGCAGTAGCAGAAAATTCCACTGACTGACAGTACAGGAGTAAAAAAAACTTAAGGGGCCACGGGAATGAGGGTGTACACAGAATCCCGCCAAAGGTTATGGCTTTATTAAGTCCACCTCTATCTAAACTCATTGTCCATTTTATCAGCTCCACTTACTATATAGGTGCACTTTGTAGTTCTACAGTTACAGACTGTAGTCCATCTGTTTCTCTGATACTTTGTTAGCCCCCTTTTACCCTGTTCTTCAGTGGTCAGGACCCCCATGGACCCTCACAGAGCAGGTACTATTTGGGTGGTGGATCATTCTCAGCACTGCAGTAACACTGACGTGGTGGTGGTGTGTTAGTGTGTGTTGTACTGGTACGAGTAGATCAGACACAGCAGTGGTCAGGAGTAACAAGAGACTGGTAAGGTTGTGTAATTAGAAAAAAACATTGGCAGCAGGTCAGTAACATGATTGGCTATAGAAGAGCATCTCAGAGAGGCTGAGTCTTTCAGAAGTAAAGATGAGGAGGGGTTCACCACTCTGGGAAAGACTGTGTGGGCAAATAGTGCAACAATTCAAGAATAACATTTCTCAGCATAAGATAGCAAAGAAGTTGGGGATTTCATCATCTACGGTACATAATAACATTAAAAGATTCAGAGAATCTGGAGAAATCCAAGACCATAAACCAATACTGTCCAGCCATGATCTTTAGGCTCTCAGACAGCACTGCTTTAAAAACAGACATGATTCTGTACAGAAAATCACTGCATGGGCTCAGAAACACTACTGAAAGCCACCGTCTGTGAAAACAGTTGGCCGCTGCATCCACAAATGCAAGTTACAACTGTAAAACGCAAAGAAGAAACCAAATATAAACAGGATCCAGAAAAACGCCGCCACCTTCTCTGGGCCCAAACTCATTTAAGACGGAATCAAAAATTATCAAAATTTGAAGTTCTTTTTGGAAATCATGGACACTGCATCCTCCACCTGGCTTGTTATGAGTGCACAGTTCAAAAGCCAGCATCCGTGATGGTACAGAGGTGCATTATACCACCATCCAGATGACGTCTTTTTCAGGGAAGGCCTGGTTTATTTCAGCAAGACAATGTCAAACCACATTCTGCACGTATTACAACAGCATTGCTCTGTAGTAAAAAAGTCCAGGTGCTAAATTGACCTGCCTGCAGTCCAGACCTGTCACTACTGAAAACATTTGGCATATTATGAAATCAAAAACCCGACAAAGTAAAGCAAGTCAAGTCAAGTAAAAATGGGAAAACATTTCACTTTCAAAACTACAGCAGTCGGTCTTCTCAATTCCCAAACGCTTACAGTGTTGTTAAAAGAAGAGCTGATGTAACACAGTGGTAAACATGCCCTTGTGCCGAATTGGTTTTGGAACCTGTTGCTGGCATCAAATTAAAATCGTGCATAATTTTTTTTCAGACAACAATAAAAATTCTAAGTTTCGACATTTTATATGTTGTCATTGCTCTATTTTCAAGAAATATAGGATTTATAGGACTTGCATATCACTGTACTCTGTTTTTGTTTACACTGTGCACAGCGTCGCAACTTTTTAGGAAACAGGGTTCATACTGAAATACGGTGATATATTAGACATTACAAAATAGAAATAATACAGAATTGAAATGAACACAAATACCTTCTCCAGTAACTGGTCAACAGAGTACTTTTCAGCTGTTTTCTTCTTGGCCTTCTCCTGCATCTTGGCCTTCATCTTCTCCTGAGGTGACAGCAGTGAGTGTCCTGAACCTGAAACTAGAAAAAACAGAAACAACAGAGTGACCTCACCATCTTTACAGTCATGGCTAAAACATTCACAGGCAAACAGAGGGACACAATGAACTTTCCTCACAACAGTGAAACTGTATGTCAAGGACATGAAGCAAAGAAGTATCTACAGAGAGGCTGCTGATCTAAAATGAGTGGTATGTCTGTAAAACACTGCAGTTCTCAGTCTGAGTGATAGAAATGTGTTGTTATATAGGCTGTTACCTCCACGGCTGTCTTTCTTCTTAGATTTGCTTTTCTTTTTGGCTTTTGCTTGTCCTCCCATTCTTGTACTAAGGCGTCTGTGGGTTACAGTAACCTGAAGAGCTGCTGTACACAAAACGAGGTGAGTGTCCTGTTGATATAACCGTTATTTAGTCCTGCGTGGGACTCGAGTCTGTACAGCACTGCTGACTGCAGGCTGTGGATGTATGCAAGCATGGGCTTCAGCGCCTTCTTCTTCTCCTCGAAGGACTGGACGCCAGCTGGCTCTTTACTGCTACCCAGAGGACTTGTAGAGAATTACCGCTCTGCAATGTCATCCGGGTTTCTCAAACGCTAGAGGGCGCTCCGAGCGAGCACAAAATGAATGGGTTGAGATGGAGCATTTGGGCAAAATCTTGGTTTATAAATGCCTAAACATTTTTAATGTAAAAGAATACGTTTATTTCCTGAACACAGAGCAGCATAAAACATTTTAACACTGCTGTTATATTTTTAAGAGCTTTTAAACTCGAGTTATAGGAGTTTAAAACGGCGCCTCATGTGCGTTCATGACGTCAGTGAGCGCGAACAGCCAATGAGCTGCTCCGCTCATCAACCAATCAGCACTCGGTGGCAGTAATGCTAACCAATCAGCACTCAGTGGCAGTAATGCTAACCAATCAGCGCTCAGTAGCAGTAATGCTAACCAATCAGCGCTCAGTAGCAGTAATGCTAACCAATCAGCACTCAGTGGCAGTAATGCTAACCATTCAGCGCTCAGTAGCAGTAATGCTAACCAATCAGCACTCAGTAGCAGTAATGCTAACCAATCAGCTCTCAGTAGCAGTAATGCTAACCAATCAGCACTCAGTAGCACTAATGCTAACCAATCAGCACTCAGTGGCAGTAATGCTAACCAATCAGTGCTCGGGGCAGTAATGCTAACAAATCAGTGCTCAGTGGCATTAATGCTAACCAATCAGCTCTCAGTGGCAGTAATGCTAACCAATCAGCACTCAGTGGCAGTAATGCTAACCAATCAGCACTCAGTTGCAGTAATGCTAACCATTCAGCGCTCAGTAGCAGTAATGCTAACCAATCAGCACTCAGTGGCAGTAATGCTAACCAATCAGCACTCAGTAGCACTAATGCTAACCAATCAGCTCTCAGTGGCAGTAATGCTAACCAATCAGTGCTCAGTGGCAGTAATGCTAACTAATCAGCACTCAGTGGCAGTAATGCTAACCAATCAGTGCTCAGTGGCACTAATGCTAACCAATCAGCACTCAGTGGCAGTAATGCTAACCAAATAGCACTCAGTGGCAGTAATGCTAACCATTCAGCACTCAGTAGAACTAATGCTAACCAATTAGCACTCAGTAGCAGTAATGCTAACCAATCAGCTCTCAATAGCAGTAATGCTAACCAATCAGCACTCAGTAGCACTAATGCTAAGCCATCAACACTCAGTGGCAGTAATGCTAACCAATCAGTGCTCAGTGGCAGTAATGCTAACCAATCAGTGCTCAGTGGCAGTGATGCTAACCAATCAGCGCTCAGTGGCAGTAATGCTAACCAATAAGTGCTCAGTGGCAGTAATGCTAACCAATCAGCACTCAGTGGCAGTAATGCTAACCAATCAGCACTCAGTGGCAGTAATGCTAACCAATCAGCTCTCAGTGGCAGTAATGCTAACCAAATAGCACTCAGTAGCAGTAATGCTAACCAATCAGCACTCAGTAGCAGTAATGCTAACCATTCAGCACTCAGTAGCAGTAATGCTAATCAATCAGCACTCAGTAGCAGTAATGCTAACCAATCAGCACTCAGTAGCACTAATGCTAAGCAATCAGCACTCAGTGTCAGTAATGCTAACCAATTAGCACTCAATGGCAGTAATGCTAACCAATCAGCACTCAGTAGCAATAATGCTAAGAAATCAGCACTCAGTAGCACTAATGCTAACCAGTCAGCACTCAGTCGCAGTGATGCTAAGCAATCAGCACTCAGTAGCACTAATGCTAACCAATCAGCACTCAGTGGCAGTAATGCTAACCAATTAGCACTCAATGGCAGTAATGCTAACCAATCAGCACTCAGTAGCACTAATGCTAACCAATCAGCACTCAGTAGCAGTAATGCTAACCAATCAGCACTCAGTAGCAGTAATGCTAACCAAATAGCACTCAGTAGCACTAATGTTAGCGTTCTGCTACCCAAAACCCCTTTGCTGTAGAACAAAGGAAATATGTAGGCAGGTTTTCTTTGCTTTTTTAGTAAAATCCATCCTTCTACTTTCGACAGTTAAAGGAAAGTTCTGGCCGAGTGATTAGAAACCATTTTAACTTTTTTAGCTGTTGCGCTCCATTCACTCCCATTCATTCAGGACTCTGCTGTTTTGCAGTCATATTTTTGATATAACGGGGGAAATAGGAAGTGGCCAGGCTCCCCATAAACCGGCTCTGACGGTGTGAAAAACTGTGTTCTCAGAAGGCTTTCTGAAAGGGAACTCCACCAATTTTTCAAAATTTCTAAATAACTCAGCGCTTGAGATGTAAACAGAGTCATTCAGAGTGGTTTATGTGAAATGATTCACTGTAGAGAAACTTACAGGCTCGTATATCTTTACAGTGGTGGTGATAGGAACCAGGGGTCTCCATGACTACAACACAAATATAGCCATTTTATTTACTATCAAAACCACCAGTGAACCTAAACCAGTCTTCTGTTGATGTTGATGGTGGTGCATTAGTGGTAATTCTGAATAAAAATGCTTTCTTTGGGGACTATTTTGCCCTAAAACGCCCTGCATGTACTCCTCCACCATGAATGGATTAAGATAGATTTTTTTTAATAAAACAATGAGTGTATATCTAATCATTTTATGACTTTCTGTGAGGAAGCTTTAAACAACACGAGCAGTTCTGACTCTCTAAGGTTCTCTAGAGTGGATCACTTTTGATCAAACTCTCTGAATGACTCTGTTTACATCTCAACCATTTACACACACTATCTAAGCCACTTATCCTCCTGGGTCAAGAGGGGTGCTGGAGCCTATAAAACACCCTGGATGGGTTACCAGTCCATCATAGGGCAGGCATATGACATTCACACACCTAGGGGCAATTCAGGATCTCTAATTCACCTGAATGCATGTCTACAGACATACAACACATAAACTCCACACAGAAAGGACTCTGGTTACCCAGCTGGTGTATCAAACCCAGGCTACTCTTGTTGTGAGGCGACAGCGCTACCGACTGTGTAGCCTGTGGAATTCCTCTTCACACATGGCACTGTATTAAATCTTGTCTATACAGAACCTGATATGACTGTTTTCATTGCATAGCAGCCAATTTTCTATTATATTTGTGCAAACATTATAACCAGTCTGAACAATAATCACTGCCTGCATCTAATAACTGTCATTCGTTGCTCTTAAATGGAGGATTTTTATGAATTCATTTATTTTGCTTCCTCTTCCTTGTCAATCTCCTCCATCTCTTCCTGTCTGTCTCTCTCTGTCCTCTTCTTTGTCTCAGTGTCTCAGTTGTTTGAGTGACATGTGGAAGCAGACCGCTTAATTGTGACCCGGTTAGCTGTCAACTACAAAACCTCCTCAGATGACCGCCAGGCTTTTGGGCCGATGGGCTCGCCTGTTGTCCCGATGCCCCCAAGCTTCTGCATCCGCCGCCCGCCTGCAGGCGCCCACAGCCCAGCCAGCAGAGCCGCTGAGGTCCCAGGTCCAGATAAGGTCCGCTGTCAGACCCCTGTGCCTGGGCCGGGGAAGGGCTCAGGGGGAGGAGCCAAATGTCACGTTTAAACGCACAGAACTGGACGTGCTTGTTGAGAAGGCGACCACTCCACCATATGTTATTGGTAAGTCAATTGCTAAATGATAGTGGTCGATTCTATTCGCTCTCTAATTTTCTACTTACATATAACATTATAAATTAGCACAAAAGAATATATTATTACTCACAGAAGCTGTTCCTGAAGGTATCCTCACTCTCTTACGAGACACCACAAGAGAAAAAACAGTATCAACCTTTGATAACGTTAATACAGCTTTGATCAATGGAATTAACATGAGTGTAGAATGATTTAATGATAGATTTATTAGAGCAGGGGTTCCCAAGCTTTAGCAACTCGCGGCCCACGCAACTGATCAACCGGCCCATCCGTTTAGAATGTAAGAAGCATAATAATCAGTGTAGCCTGTGGAATTCCTCTTCACACAGCGTATTAGACTAAAGAAATCTGTAGCCATTTACACAGAAAAGTCTCAACAACAGGATGAGATGCTCTGGAGCTGCTCATGAACCTAAGGTCACCATGCCCAATGCCGAGCGTCGACTAGTGGAGTATGAAGCCTCTAGGATTGGGCTGTGGAGCAGTGGAGCTGTGTGATGGAGCTCCATCCAGTAGCTTTGGGATGAGTTGGAGTGTCCAGAACTGACCATCCAACATCAGTACCTGACCTCACTAATGCTCAATCAAATCCTCACAGCAGTGTTCCAACATCTGGTGTAAAGCCTTCCCAGAAGAGTAGAGGCTGATGTTGCTTGTTATTTTTAATACTCTTGATATTGGACAGTGGATGTCCACAAACTTTTGGCCATACAGTGTATTTCACTAGACTTACCTCGTAAGACACCTGGCCTGCCTTATCAGAACCACGCCTGTGTTCAGTTAAATAATTAATTAGACAGCATAATTAATGATTATGTCATTAATGTTAACACCAGTCCCACCAGATACGTCATGTGGCTCTGTGGCAGACTCTCACAACCCTGCTGAAAAAGTACCGTAGACCACCATGAGCTCCATGCTCGTCTAAGCTGGTCTATGCTGGACCAGTGCTGGTTTAGCTGTATTCTAAATGTATTCTGAATACTGGTCTGTCTAACAACATGAAAAGGTTCTTCATAAGCAGCTACGTTTCTCAAATCTGAGAGCCATTCTTGGGTTGATGGACCTCAGAGAATTTAGTGTCATATTCAAGTACGCTTTTAAATGAGGCCCCATCTTCTGCTTGGGCTTGACGGCAGACTGAACGCCAGATGGCGGTATTGCTGCCACTAATATTGCGGAGTTTTGGAAAATTACACTCCAAGAAGATTCTCTTAGAAAAAGTAATGGAAAAAAGTAAAACAAGGATAAGAACTTTTCTTTGTTTCTGAAGAGATCCGAACAGAGCCAATGTTAGAGCTGCAGCGCCCAGAAAACACAAAATCGATTTTGTTGTGGGCTTTTATTTTGTACAAAAAAGAGTTTAAAGATGTGGAATGAAGATGTGGGAAATATTACATTCAGGAGTGATAAAATATGAACCCCAGATAAGAAGATAAGAGCTTTTTGTGTAGAATTTATGGGTATATATTAGTCCCTGTCATGTAAAAAACGGAACTGTTTTAATAGAAAACTCTTAATAATAAAACTCTAATCTGTTCTGAATTATTTATTCTTCTTTCGCTTATGACAGCTGAATTTTTGTGTTGTATTCGTGACTCATATATGTGTTCCTTCGAAACGTAATTTTTATGGTATAGTGGTATAATGAGAATGAACGAATAATATATATATAAAAAACGCAGTCATTCATAAAGGGTGATATCGGGCTGGCTCGGACCGTATTTTATTTTATTTTATTTTATTTTATTTTATTTTATTGTATTTTATTTTATTTTATTTCGAAACCTCAAACCTAGCCGCTTCCACTGGCACAACTCTCAAATTAAACGCCCTTACGTATTTCATAAAAATAAACATAAATAATATTACGAAGCACGAAAAATATTTTTTATTGTATAATGTAAATTTTAATCATGTCTATTTGAAAATCCTCAGCTTGAGACGTTTTGTTAAAATGTAAACAGTTCTAAACATCTCAGTAGATGTCGCCAAACCAATGACGCGCCCAGAACCTTTATTGTTAGTGAGTGACGTAAATATCTAGCGACTCGTAGTGGCAGGTCCATGTGAATGTCGCCGGTGGGAGGCTTTGTAACGTCGGAATAGAAAAGGTGAGACTGGAAATCGCGATCGCTGTCGTTAAAGTGCTCGTCCGCCATTCGGGCGTGATGAACTGCGCCTGCGGTTGTGGATCCGTCTGGCTGTCAGCAGGATCTTTATAGCGCCTCCCTCTTTAACAGGCAAGGTCAGAACGCCTTCCTCTGGACAGGAAGATCAGCTGGGCAGCTGATGTAGCTGCACGTTTTAGGCTCTGGTCTGATCTGGTCATATAAGAGTGTTTTGAGAAATGGCTTTGTTTACATGGTCACTGTGAGGATGGCTGAACTCCAGCTGTGACCTTGCATGGCACTGTATTAAATCTTGTCTGTAAAGAACCTGATATGACTGTTTTCATTGCATAGCAGCCTATTTTCTATTATATTTGTGCAAACATTATAACCAGTCTGAACAATAATCACTGCCTGCATCTAATAATTGTCATTCGTTGCTCTTAAATGGAGAATTTTTATGAATTCATTTATTTTGCTTCCTCTTCCTTGTCAATCTCCTCCATCTCTTCCTGTCTGTCTCTCTCTGTCCTCTTCTTTGTCTCAGTGTCTCAGTTGTTTGAGTGACATGTGGAAGCAGACCGCTTAATTGTGACCCGGTTAGCTGTCAACTACAAAGCCTCCTCAGATGACCGCCAGGCTTTTGGGCCGATGGGCTCGCCTGTTGTCCCGATGCCCCCAAGCTTCTGCATCCGCCGCCCGCCTGCAGGCGCCCACAGCCCAGCCAGCAGAGCCACTGAGGTCCCAGGTCCAGATAAGGTCCGCTGTCAGACCCCTGTGCCTGGGCCGGGGAAGGGCTCAGGAGGAGGAGCCAAATGTCACGTTCAAACGCACAGAACTGGACGTGCTTGTTGAGAAGGCGACCACTCCGCAAGAGGTGCTGCAGGCGTGGGAAGATCTAGGCGGTTCACCCAATCAGGCGGCCTCGTGTCTGATCCAGCTCAGCCGGCTGGTGGTGGAGAAAGGAGGAGCAGATGCCTCGGATGTCCTGAAGGACCCTCGCTGTGTGGATCTGCTGGAGACAGTGAATTCTCAGGTGAAGATAGCCTCCTGCTAGAGATGTGCAATAAAAATATGTATTGTAAGCACTTTATTAGAAATCACATCATCCAGCAAAGTCTGAATGAAAAATAAAAACAAGACAGAAATATTACAAAACGTGGCTTTCTCTCTCAGATCTCACTGAGAACTGTCTGGGAATGGTTTTAATACTCTAATGAGCTTGACTGACAGCACTCCCAGTTTATAGCTACGTTCACATTACAAGCCTCATTGCTCAAATCCAATTCTTTGCTCAAATCCGATCTCTCTGATTCGATGGTTCACACTCGTTTAGGTAAGTGGTTCAAATCTGTCATTAATGTGACGAACCGGCGTCCTGAATGACCCGCATGACCACATCCTACTCAGTAACGTCACGTGAATGAATCACGTTCATCATCAGCACAAACTAACGAGCAGAACGAGCTTCGCTGAGAAGATCATTAACTCTGATCAGCTCTCAGCTTCATTATTAGAGCGAGACGAAGGAGAAAAAGGTGAGATGAGCTGCTTTTCCACCGTTTACAGGCTTTAACTTCTGTTCGGCGCTGCTGCCATGGTAACGCTGAATGATGGCACAGTGGAAAAAAGCACATGAATTCCGATCTGAACGTTCACATTAGGTTGTGTGGTCACGAATCGGATACGTATCTGATCTAGGACTACTCGATCTGCTCGTTAGTTTGTGCTGATGATGAATGTGATTCATTCACGTGACGTTACTGAGTAGGATGTGTTCATGTGGGTCATTTCAGGACGCCAGTTCGTTCACATTAATGACAGATTTGAATCACTTACCTAAACGAGTGTGAACCATCGAGTCAGAGAGATCGGATTTGAGCAAAAAGTCAGATTTGACCAATGGAACTTGTAATGTGAACGTAGCCTTAAACTTGACTTCTAAAACAAAAAAAGCTCAATATTGACAACAACATGCAACAACTGATGCTGGGAAGGTAGAGGAGGTTGTCATTGAACACTACATTGCCCAGTGTATGTGGTCAGTGTTAATGACCGATATTAGCTAAGCTGAAAACAACCTCCAGACAGGATGTTCACCAGGTTTTAGTGAAATGCTGCTGAATGTCTTCCTCTTCTTGTCCCGTCTTGTCCTGTGCAGGTGTCAGTGATATGGAATGGTACGCTGGTGTCCCTGCTGCGCTCTCTCTCCAGCCTGGGTCTCACCCCCAGCGCTACAGTGCTGCGCTCTCTTCAGACTGAGGCGCTGTGGAGGCTTCGGCGCCTCACCTACCGGCAGCTGTCCTACCTGGTGGACTGGGCAACCAGCCGCCACAGTCAGGGGTAAGCAGTCCTCTCATTCCGCTTATGCTTCACCTGTGTAAACTGCGTTTTGTATTCCCTACACTAATGTCAGTATCAGCCCATGAGGGGTTTGTATTGTGTGGTGTTCATAAAAAAGTAGTTTTTCAGAATTGCCTGGTGCTTATCAAGATCTAGTGAGATCACTGTCTGTTGGTTGGCAGGCAAGGGGACGAGGCTCTGACCACAGCTGTGCTGAAGCAGCTAGAGTTGCGCTGGACAGAGTTGAGTGACCCACGAACGGTCAGCACCCTCATGGGCCGTGCAACACAGCTCTCTCCGTTCCTAATGGACAAACTGGAAGATAAGGTGAGCACACAGTGTATGCAGATCTGTACACTAGAGCTGAATTATAGACATTATTTTTAATATTGACAACAAAGAAAATCATAGACAGATGTTTCCATTGTTGATTTTTTTTTTTGTTTACATTTTCAAATGACTTCCAAGCTAGAAGTGAGTTGATGTCTGAATTCAGCTAGTGTTGTCCCTGTGTGAGCAGGTGCAGGGGTCAGCAACATGTGGCTCTTTTACTGCCCTGTTGTGGCTCCAGGGCAGAATTAGATCTGTAGGTAAAAATAAAATAATCCTCCTTTACAGTAAAATAAAGCTCTGCTGATCGTTCAACACAGTTTAACAATAAATGGTCTTAAACTCTGGAGTTAATGTAGAACTGCTAATTCACGCTTTAACCCTAAAGATCACCGCAGACTGCTGGTCACCATAGCAACGCAGACAACAGTCTTGCCCAGCTAGTAGTTAATGAAAAGGCAAAGAGAGAGATTTAAGACAAACATCGATAATTTGGAGATGAATGGACTTATTTACATTTATAATCACTCCAGTTGGTTTCCTGATACGTTTAATCTGCAACGAGAAACTGTCAAACAGTAAAAAGACATGAAGCTGAAGTTTCTCATTCGCCAACTTCTCGTTTGAATTTCCCTGTTCCACCTTAAATGGTGCAGCAGGTGTCTCAGTCACCATTGAAGGCGGAACGGGAAAATTCTGACAAGAAGCTGGAGAATGAGAAGCGACTTCAGCCTCGTAAAAAGTCGAATGTTGAGAGACACTATAAGAAATTATTCCGCTTTTCCTGCCAGAGATGTGAGAAAAGCGGCTATAGCTGAGCTAAAGCTTAAAGCAGAGCAAAGTAAGTCTGTGTTTTTGTTAATATTATATTTTTAGTCTATATTGTCACATACTGAGACAGATTTACAGCCAAGATGATAAAATGGACATGAAATGTTGTGGCTCCCAAGGTGGTTTGATTTTTGTTGAAAGGACAAAATGGCTCTTCTTAACATTTGGGTTGTGACCCCTGAGATCTAAATCTTTTGTCATGCTGTTTGAAAAAGTCCCACCTCCCTTAGTGACCGTTGTTACATCCGTCAAACCTTCAGCTCAAATCCACCCAGTAGCATTTATAGCACTTGTGAACAGACTACAAACTTCAGCACGAAGGAAACTGCAGGAGCACACAGGGGAGCACCTGTGGGCACATTTTATTACCTTATAATAAACTGGTTGTTCACAGGTTGTAAATATTTGAAAACTGACAATAAAAAAGATAAGGCAAAAAAAGGGATTCTGAAAAGCACGTTTACATTAATCAAACTAGAAAAACCTTTCTGGACATAATAGCATCTAGTTTTCATGTATAATAAAGAAGAGGTTTGAAAAGTGTCTAATGCTGACCTGTCCAATGTCCGGACCAGGCTCTGGAGCTGGCGGAGAAGTTCAGTGCCGAGGACATCCGCAAGGTGGCGCTGGCTTTGGCATCTCAGGGACGACGAGCGGTGCCACTCCTGCGGGCGCTGTCATACCACCTGCACCAGAAGCCCTCCTCCGAACTCAAAACACCTCTGCTGCTGGACATTGCATTCGCTTATGGTCAGCTCATCACATTTACTTACATCTTTTTTTTTACGTTGTGCTTTTTGCATCATCAGCACAAACTAACGAGCAGAACGAGCTTCGCTGTGAAGATAATTAACTCTGATCAGCTCTCAGCTTCATTATTAGAGCGAGACGAAGGAGAAAAAGGTGAGATGAGCTGCTTTTCCACCGTTTACAGGCTTTAACTTCTGTTCAGCGCTGCTGCCATGGTAACGCTGAATGATGGTGCAGTGGGAAAAAAAGCACGAGTTCTGATCTGAGCGTCACATTAAGGTCACATGGCCACGAATCGGATACGTATCCGATCTAGGACCACATATGAAAGGCTACATTCACATTACCAGGTTGAAGTGGCATAAATCCGATCCTAATGTGACTCAGATCTGATGCTTTCAGAGCTGTGTGGACACGCAAATCTGATCTTTTCAAATCCGACCTGAGGCACTTTCATATGTGGTACCCGGGTGGGGACCCTGCAGGATGTATAGGGGGCAAATGACTTGTATCATTTGATTAAAGAAGAAATCGCCTGTCGCAAAGACAGAAGAAGTTTAGTGGTAAGAGATTTGAGCCTGCAATCGGAAGGTTGTGGGTTCACATCCCAAGACTGCCTGGGTATTCCTAGACTGGACATAGTTAGGCAGCAAAATGACCAATTTCATTAGCACGCGGGTATTTAACCTTTAATAAATCAGTTATAGAAATTTCTGTTAGTTGTGTATGTGTGTACATATATATATATGTGTGTATATGTATATAACATACACACACAGACGCCTGCTTGTTCAAAATGTTTTTGACCTTACTTAGTGACCCAGAGCTCCTGAAAGCCATAGCTCCACTGTTTCTGCCACAGGTAAGCTGAATTTCCACCAGACTCAGGTGTTCCAAAGGATGGCTGCAGAACTGTTGCCAAGGTTACCAGAGATGAGCTCCACCGACGTCACACGCTGTTCGAAGTCCCTGGCCTTCCTGAAGTGGCTCCACCTGCCTCTCTTTGAGGGTTTTGCACAGGTTCAAATGCACTCAGTGCACCTCTGCACTTAACCTACCTACAGATACACATGACTGCAGTCCACACACATAAAGACCAACCCACTCAGTCGCTAACCAGCAGCAGACAGGCGGGTTAAATAACATGTTTAGGAATTTGAATGGGATTCCAAAAGAATTCCAGAAGCAAATTCTTTAACTGCCTTGAGGAAAAGTAACACGGTCAGTAGGAATGTGGAATCGATCACTCAGTTTCGAACTCTGAAAGAGACGGGAACATGATTTTGACTTTGTGCTTTTTTTTTCCTTTATTGAATAAAATAATGTTCCTGTTTGCTTTGGCAGCAAAAACCAAATAAAAGTAGCCACTAACAAAATCATATAAAGTACTAAGATTAATTTTTAAGCAGTAGAACCCGAGAGGAAGTGTGTTATCGTGAAATAACATCACGGCTGTGATTTGGTCGCTGTAGATCATCACAGCCGTGATGTTATTGGCGATAACACGCTCCTCGAGTGTTCTATCGCTTTTACACAACAGTTAAATAAATAAAGTAATAAATTAATAAACTGGGCGGTGAACGCGGCGTTTTAATATGTTTTAATGTTCGCAGTTCCTTCACCAAATTATAGTTCCTTAACAAGCAGCTCGTTGCTACGTCAGAGTAACGAGCTCCGCCCACTCGCTGCACAGTCGGCTGTAAGCCTCGCCTTTTGAAGTGCAGACTGAATCATAAAACTGCCGCAATATCAAGTTCAGCTCAGTTTTGTCATTTTTTGCTGATCAGTATTAATGTTGTTTTGTTCCAGCCAGTCTGTAAAGCATCTTACAGCCCATTTAGTTTGGCGAATGGTGTTGGGTTCATTTCTGGCTGATTCCAGGTTGTTTAGGTTCTTCTGTCACAGCTGCCGACTGAAAAGCTGCTCAGTGGTGACGACAGTTTGGGGAATTTAGTGTCGTCTCATCTTCAGAGTCTGACCAAATCGGCTGAAATGTGATCTTAGAAGTGTCCATTTTCTGTTTGTGGCAAAGTAAGAAGTAAAAACGTTCAAATGGCTTGAGTGTCTCCTACAGCTGTCAAAGTAGTTGCTTAGTAACGGCGTCTCAGCGGAGTGATACAGTGTTTGTGAAAAACCTGTGATGTTATGGCGAAATAACAGCACGGTTAGAACGCCTCTTAACCAATCAGCTTGCGTGGCCGGAACTAACTGTTGTATAAATATTATATAATATCTAATATATAATATCATATAATACTAACTCAGATTTATAGTGTGATATTTTCTACTTTTAGCACGATAGTGGTAAGATATCACAATTTAAAAAAAAAGTGAATCAATTTATAATAGTAACATTAACAAAATAACATTGTGATAACAATAGTTATTCTTCTTATTAGTGCTAATATTGTTACTGGTGGCATTATTATTATCAACATATAGTGTTATAATTAAAACATTATTATGGTTGTGTATCATTTATTATTATTATTATTATATCCTTTTTTATAACCCCTTTAAAGTAAAAAAAAATACATTCTTAATAATAAAAAAACACTGAGTTTGCTGCTGAAATGTGTTCTTCACTGTGTAAGTCTAGTAGCTTCTTCAGTTTTCTTGTAAGGAACCAGTTTTTAGTCGTTTTTTTACAGCCTCTCCTCATGCTGTTTTTTTACCTCCTCACTCATCCTCAATTCCATTTTGCTCCTAATAGTTGGTGTCTAAAGTAATTTCACTCTTTGCTGTATCTAACAATGGCAGCTTGGCATTCCAGGCTTGCTAAGGTAACGGTGGTGAGCAGCACTCAGCGGGCGGTTTTACCCGAAACACCCTTTGCTTGAGTTTATTTAAGCTGTTCATGCTCATGTCTAGTTTGTCTCGGGGGCAGTTCTGTTTGTGGTTCACTGTTTTTGGGCTTATCGTGGAATCCTCGGTACCGCAAGAGAAAGAGCGTCATACTGAATACAGAGCTACAAAACTAACCTTGCTAATAATCACTAGAACACCTTAGTCCTCAAACTACCCAAGTCGTTTGTTTAACCCCTGTGTGGTGTTCAGGTCTGTGGGACTCATTTTCAGTGTTTACCAAAATCAAAAATTGTGATTCATTATTATTTCAACCTCAGATTCTCAGCCGTTGCTCATTTTCTGTGAAGAACATATAAAATAACCCATTTTCAGTGTCTTCACTCTGTTCACCCCCCACACATTTATATTACACATGTGGTGTTGGGGTGAACCAGCGGGGAGTGAAAGTGTGGAGGTGCTGTGTCCTTCACTCTGTTCTCCTCCTATATGGCCTGCTGTTAGTGTGTGGGTGTCTGTGTGTTTGTGTGAGGGTGGACAGGCTGCTGACTGGCTACAGCTGGCTCAGTACATCAGCGATGGATCACACCGCCTCAGTGCCATCACTCCAACCACATCCATGTCAGAGTATATCACAGTGTTCAAACACCAGCTAGCAGATGACTGAGTTTCTCTATTCTATTGTAGTAGTTTGAGGGGTGAACTGCAGTATATCAGTCGCTCGCTGTGTAAAAGCTTTAACTGCAGTGTGAATTTCTCACACCAGACAAACAGAGTCCTCCTTTTAGGTACGTTTAACTGAAATTGGTGCTTTTTTGTCGTGTTTATTCTACAGTAACATCAATTCAGCCGTGCTGTGTGAGTGACGGAGCGCTGCTTCAAATTAGCCAGCTGCTAACAGCTAGCCTGGGAATCCAGCGTTCTCCCACTCTCCAGTGCAACAGATACAGCATCACAACCTCAGTTCACTACGTCGCGTGTGAGAATGCTCTATTGTATAGAACATTTATTGAACATTTCCCCATTTCTATCGAGGAAAGTTATATTACGATAATTGTCATTATCGTTTTATCGCCCAGCCCTAACATTCGGTCACAACCAAAAGGCACAAAGTTTTTTAAGCTGTTCATTTTTTAGCATAATGCATTGTGATTTTTACGTCTTTCTCTCTTTTACTTTCAGCACTTCCAGAGTAACAGTGAAAAGTACAGCACTCTGCAGCTCTGTAACCTCCTCATGTCCTTCGCCAAGCTCAACTTCCAGCCCAGCAACAGAGAGGAGTTCTACAGAAGGGTAATTGATCAAAGCACGCTTGAGATTTTCTTTCCCGAATGAGTGAATATTGAGCAGAACGTGTCCGTCTGACCCATTAATCTAAGACGAAGTCTGTTTTATGTGGCCTGTGCAGGTTCATGAAGCCCTGGAAGGCTCTTGGCAGGGATTGGAGCCTTTTCTTCTGACGGACGTGGTGTGGTCTCTCTGCGTGCTGCAGCAGGCCAAACCCGAATTTATCACTGCTGTTACTGACCCTGACTTTCAAACCAAACTTTCAGGTGACAGAAAATATAGTGTATCCATTTTTCTTCATACAACAACAAAGATCTTTTGCTATCTTTTAATAGCAAAGAATTGACCACTAGAAGTATTATTGGTTAATATTATTTTCCCCACCCACTGGTGCATGATGATGTAATCAAAAATCCATAGACAAGTCCCTACATTCTGATCATGAGGAATAGTGTCTTACATGACCAGCGCCATGAACTAACGAGGTCATTTTGGTCAGTTTTCACTGTAAGCCCTTGAACTGCAAGGCCACCTATTTAGGCCCACACTTCAGTTCTTTACTCTCAGCCTTACTATCATATTTGTTTTGTAGTAGGTACTGAAGAATTTATATTAGTTAAGTTTTATGGTTAATCACTGAATAATAAGCCTGCTGTTCAGAGGAATAGTTTCCCGAAAAATCAAGTGTACCCTAATTTTCACTGATCCCAGCTAAAGGCACAGCTGTGGCACATTTGGAGTCCAGATTTTGCTTCTGTAGTTTAAAACTGGAGCAACAAAGCTAACGCTGCTAACCAATTGAACCCAATAGTCACCCAATTAGCCCAAAGTGTTTCTGTAAAAATACACTCCCAAAACTTCTCTCAACCTGCTCGAAATGCGTCCAGCTCTAGATTAAGGTCACACAGATTTGCCGATGTGATTTATAGAACCGCATGGCTGACTGTGAGCTACAAAAATAAACGAGTTCATCGCTACGGGCAGCCATTTCAGACAACGCCAGAGCTGTTCTTAGATCAGATTCCTTCCTATTTATGAAGGTCATTGTCACAAATACGGATTCTAGATCAGCACTTCTGCTCCTGAGGTGGTTCGTGAATACAGACCCTCTTGCCCTATTGCACTTATTTTTTTTTTAACAGTTCAAAGTAAGTCATACTGTGTCCTAAACATCATTGACAAGTCTGCCCAACCTTAATGAAGACCTTAATGTAGTTTGAGACAGGGTTGAGAGGGGTTGTGGTGATGTATTTTTACAGAAACAGTTTGGGCTATTTGGGTGACTATTGAGTTCTAGTGTTTGCCAGCAGTGTTAGACTTGTAGCTCTAGTTCTAAACCAAAAACACAAAAATTGGATTTCAAAATTGTCTCAGCTGATCGGCTACATGTGGGGCATGTAATAGTCTTTCTGTCTTAATAAGGGTAGCCGAGGTCAGAGGATCCAACATTTGTAATATCGTCGCTGTCCAAAGAAAACCATGTATGTCCATTTTTGTAGATTTTTTGTTTTCTACATCATTTCAACACACCAGCTGTCTTTTACGTTGTGTTAAAATTGATGCATGGACCAATAGAAATGCTCTAAAATCACTTGGAACAAAATCTTTTTACATAGACTTACATAGAAAGGTAAGAGTGTTTTTGTCCTCTCCTGTAAAGTTACTGTTTTAGAGATGCTTGTTTTTCATTGGACAGCGACGATATGCTTGTTGTTTTGTACTTCGCCACATGGTGTCAGTAAATACCTGCTGGTTACTTTTATACCCTGGGACTGTGTTTTTCTACTTCAGTCCAGGAGGCCCACCTGCACTGCGTAGATTTGTTTTCGCCCCTCTAATGCCTGGCTGTAGGATTTTTTAAACACCTAACTGATGTTGAAGATGTGAAAAAGCCCAAACATAATGGCAGATTTTAATGACATGCAGTCATTAAAGCCCCCAACAATACAAGATTTGCCCAGAACACAACATCACACATTTACATTATGAGGACTTGACCAATAGTCTCTCAAAATCTGAGATCTCAAAGAATTTCTAGTGATGAAACATGGCAGACATCAGCAGGGCACTGATTACTGTGCTAGATATTGAAGATGCACCTAAATTAAACCAAAATTCAAGACACACCAGATCAAAAACCAAAAACTAAAGGAAAGTTGTTTTGAGTTTGTGTTTTTTTTTAATTTGCTGTTAAATTATGTGAAACGTGCTAAACATAACACTACAAGGTCATAAAGGAAATAGTTTTATTATTGATTAAAATCTGCTTTCTAAAACTGAGCTGACAATAAATAAAAACAATTAGCATAAAATAAACTAAAACTATTACATGTTGGCTATAATATGTGCCATGAAGTCAAACTAAACAGGTCTGTGCAAACAAACAAACAGCGTTTGTTTGTTTTTCATTATATCATTCAAATGATTTGTGAAGTGTTAGTTTTTAACACTTTGTCATCCTGTTTATCTTTTTTTCCTCCTTTGGCCAAAAACAAGAAATGCCACTTGTAACTATTTTTGACTGAATAATTTGGAATTTTGCTGCATCCCGAATGAGTGCATTTATCAGCGCAAAAAAAAAGGTGGCGCTCCATTCAATTCTTGATATTAAGAATTAAATTCTTACTAGTAAAAATGTAATTCTTGGTATCAAGAATTGAATTTTTCCTAGTAAGAATTATATTCTAGATATCAAAGTTTTCACTAGTGAAAATTCAGTTTTTGACCTAAAGAATTTCATTCTTACTAGTAAAAATTTAATTTCATATGTAATAATTCAATTAGAGCTAGTAAAATTGCATTTTCTACAAGTAAAAATACAATTTTTACATATGAAAATTATTGCTTGTAAAAATGTTTCCCCCATTCATGCATCACTAGCCTACTTTAGAAATATATAAGGGTTGATTGTTTGATTTACAGCTGCAACCTTCAGTCACCAAAAATAATTAGTCAACAGCAAATACGGAAAGAAATGAACATGGTTTGCAAACAAAACTGTTCTGTAATGTTCATATGATACATGCAGTCATTCTGACAGAACGCAGTACACTACAGGAAGCATAGGGGGCGATATAGCATGTATTGTTTCATTGCTCCATAGAAGGAGAAATGGCAGGAAGCATATATTTATATTTACATTTATGGCATTTTGCAGACGCTCTTATCCAGAGCGATATACAGTTTGATCGTTTTACACAGGTGGGTGAAGGTTGTGTTAGGAGTCTTGCCCAAGGACTCTTATTGGTATAGTGTAGGGTCATTACTCAGGCAGAGGATTGACCCCAAGGCAGCAGTGTTACCCATTACACTATACCAACCACATATAGGTTTGATTAGTTAACCCCCCGTGACCCTCGGCTTAGAAAACGTGTGTGTGTGTAGTTAGTTGACCACTGATAGATCAGTCGATATTAAAAATAACCTTGCAGCTCCAGTTAATAAGAAAAGCCCTAAGGTGTGCAGTGCTGTGTTATAGTGGTATAGTGTGGTATAGTGACTCTCCAAGGAAAGCTTCATTCACGCTGTCTGTTTCTTGGCCTTCTAGGTGGCAGCCCTGTTCGCACAGAGAACTACAGGCTGAAGCTGCTTCATGTTGCTGCTTCTGGCCAGCTAGAGTCTCTTGGAGCCCTGGGCCTCCATCCAACTATCCACTTACCGGCCGTCCAGGCCAAAGCACCCACCCTGACATCCCTGCAGAGTGGCCTGCACGCAGCCCTCCAGAGCCTGACCAGCAGTTGTACGACTGCCCTTCGCACTAACGTCAATACAGTATACGGCTGGACTATAGGTGTGCAGGAACTGGCCACTGGTTTTCTTTGTATGACATGTATGGAAAGCCAGTTTAAGTTTTTTAATTCTTGTTTTTTTCTTGATGTTAGGAATTCAATTTACACATGAAAATTTAATTCTTACTAGTCAAAATTTTATTTTTACTAATGATACTTCATTTGTTTCCACATTAATCTTAATAGGGAAAACAATTTTACTGGTAACACGAAATCTAAAATGACATTTTCTCTTTTCGATATTAAGAGTTACATTTTTACTAGTAAACATTAAATGTTTGATGTCAAGCATTAAATTTCTACATGTGAAAATGTATTTTTTACTAGTAAGAACTAAATTTGTATTTGTAAATTGAATTCCTGGTACCAAGAAAAAAAGGATTAAAATCTAAAACAGCTTGCCATTTCTTAAAGGAATAGTTTGGCAAAAAAATCTAGTTTACATGATTTTCCACTTACCCCAAATGCAGTCAATCAACCAAGACACGTTTGGAATCCAGATTTTGTTTCTTTAGTTTAGAACCGGAGCTGCGAGGCTAACTTTGCAAGTAGTAGCCCTAACTGTTTCCACAAATACATACATAACTAAAAACTTCTCTCGACCAGCTGAAACACATTCGGGTCTTAATTCATTTTGCGAAGACAAGTTTATATGATTTTAAAGCACAGACGCAAGACAACCGATGATGGGCCAGATGCTTTGTAGGGTAACATAGATAGAGAAGTCTATGTTTGAACCTGAATATACACAAATGCGTCAGTTGGGTGGTGGGACCAACTGTGACTCCCTGGACCACCTCTTAGCTACATATGGCAGGACAGTAAGTGAACACAACAAAGATGGAGAAAAAGGAAATAATGATGACCTCAGATTCACTTCTTTGAGGGGTCATCCATAAACATGTACTATTGCATAGTAACCAAGCATCTCATCTTTAGCTTGAATGTGTAATTTTACTAAATCCTTCTTTTAACACGTTTACGTAGCTTATCCACATCACTTAATGCAAATATGTGAAGATTGTGAGCTGTATTTGTGGAAACAGTTTGGGTGACTACTGACTTATGGTGTTTGTTGGCACTATTATGACTATGGGTCATTCTACAGAAACTATAGGAGTCACTGGTGTTACTGATCGTCATTGGTGTTACACATGATAAAGGAACACCAGAGACATTTTAATGAAAAATGCATTTTACTAAATGGCTGCTGCAGAACATCAAACCACATGTTGTCAGTCATGGAATATCCACTAAAATATGTAATTTGATCCATTTGTTTTCTATTTTTTCACAATTACCTCAGAATTAAGTCGGTCACACCAGTGACTTCAGCTAAAAGCTTCATATGAAATCATGAGCTAAATGAGAAAATCTCTGATAACTGAAAGACACAGTGGACTCACCATGTGCTTTTCTTCATAGATCCTCAGAAAACAGGTAAAAGGAAGTCGAGTGATGTCATCAGTGTGATTTTTATTTCAAAATAAGAGATTTTTTCTTACGCAGTAACACCAGTGACACGACTCCTGGGGAACTTTCATTATATATTTGATAGTATTTATTTGTTTTCTTTGTTATTTAATTCATATGTTTCAAATTCATATATAGATTATTGTAGTTAAAATGGCAGAAAAACCTCAAATTATGGCATTCTATATAATTGATTTAAAAACCAATATTGCTAAATTGAGGCTCAAGAAGGTGTAATTTTTAAAAAAAAACTTGTTTTATTTAAAAATATAAATAAATTGTAACCCTAACGTTTTTTTCAATTTTTTTGTGCTTTGACCAATCAGATGCAGAGTTGGTGGTGGATTCAGAAAATAAGCCTATTAGCTTGGAGAAACTCGTAGCTCCACACTTACCTGGAGGGGGCGGGTCAGAGCAATTACCTCAGGGAGCGCGCAGGTGAGTCTCCGAAGAGTTCAACCCTCACCTTTTTTGTGTGTGTGATTTTAGTCCCATCCAAATCTGCCATGTCATCTGCCATTTATACAGACTGCGCACTCCCACGGCAGATATTCTGGTGTCTCTGTCCTGCTAAAAACCGAAGCACAGAAATAACCCCGGGTTATATTAATCTTGTGAGAAAAGCCAGTGTAAACGAAATTATGATTAAATAAAATGTTAACATATTTTCTATTTGTAAGCAGCCTAAATGTTGGGTACGTAACATTTTTTTTTCAAATCACAATTATTACATAATCAGCTAATCAGTTATTCAGGTTGATTGCAATTATTTAACTGCAGTCAATCTCCACTGTTAGAATCCACAACAAAATTAATATGCAACATAAATAATTGTAAATACAAGAAAGTAAATGCATTCACTGAACACATCGTGGGTCTTATAAAAAGTTCTAACTTATGATTTGGTGCAACATGTTTAAAGGGCAGCACAAGAAATGTTACCAGTGTACCAGTGTGTAACCAGTTCTGTTTTAGCATGTATGCTAACAGAACAAGTGATTATTATTGCTTATATTTTCACCCTCTAGAAAAATATAGCCTTTGCTTGACTGCATATGATGGTGTAACTGAGACGTTTGTGAGTGTCTGCACACCCAACAGTGTGGTATACCAGTTCATCAGTACCATAGATACACATACCTGATGCTGTGTTGACTGAGGCGATATGTCTGCACGTCCGCCATGTTGGAGAGGTCAAGAGCCGCTTGTGAACAAACTCACTTGTATTGAGAGACGATGAGTCTCAGGATTAAATCAGCCACAACTTCCTTATTACTCAACCGATTTTCACCACATTTGTTTTGTTATAATCCTCAGACACAGATTAATCTGGGCTGCATGGATCTGCTCTGAGTAGCTTTTATTACTTTAATAACTGATCGTGCTAATTAGCAGTCCGGACCAGCAGGAAAGTATTCAGTCGGCACCTGATATTAAAAAACAAGTTTAGCGTGAGAAACACATCAACAGGTTCTTTGTGCCTCACTAACCACACGACCATATCTACACAACGTGGATCACTGCGTCCCCTCCGTTATATAATCCTATCCCACTTTCTGAGAGCAATATTCTTGAAATAGTGTATTAATTCAGTATCTTTCCTAAACTGCCGCTCTGTAATGGTACTGAATGCAGTCCAGCAGCGATATTGACCACGCCAAAATGGTGTCCACGTTGACATGCGTAGGTATGTATATCTTTGATCAGTACTACCAGTGATAGCTAACTAGTGCACATAGCTTGGAAGCAAGGACCCTAAGAGCAAGGAGCTGTGAAAGTCGTTGCTTAGCGTCTCGGCGGGGTTGAAACAGTGTTTGTGAAAAAAAAACGTTTCAACGCTTCTCAACCAATCAGCTTGCGTAGCCAGAACTAACTGTTGTAGAATAGTGTGATATGGTAATCAATCACTCTTTTATTCTTTCTGCTTAGGCTGGCATTCCTGGCTTGGGAGTTCCCTCATTTTGGCTCCAGGAGTAAAGATCTACTTGGACGCTTTGCCATGCAGAAACGCCACCTACAGCTGGCTGGGTTTCTGGTAGTTGAGGTATGGCATCAAATGAAATGCTTAGAGAAAGAGTGAAAAGGGGTGACAGGTGAGATTTATGCATGATGCGAGACAGGATCATCAGTCCTGTCCACTTTCTCGATATTCAGAAACAAAACATTTTTAGGTGAAGGGGTCTTTTAAATGCCAACTAGCTTTACTGTTCGCAAAGTTAGTATGGACTTTAAAGGCAGATGTCCAAACTTATCTTGTGCGTTCAAGTAGGGTAATATTAAAGTCGGTGTGGGAAAGTGAACGTTAATATACACTATATGGCCAAAAGTATGTGGACACCTGATCATCACACCTTTATGAGCTTGTTGAACATCCCATACCTAAACTGTGGGCATTAATATGGAATTGGTTCCCTTCAGCTTTACACACTTTCCACAAGATTTTGTAGTGTGTTTGTGGGAATTTGAATCAGTCAAAAGAGCATTTGTGAAGTCGGGCACTGAGGTTTTTTTTTCAGGTTGTTAAAATAGTTACACTCAAATTTACACTCATTCCTACCAGACCTGAATTTGATCATGTAGATACGTCAAAGATTAAATTAATGAATAACAAAAATTGTATGCGCTCATTTTACAGTCAGATTTCACTGTATGTAACTGATATGAATAAAGGCCGTTATGTAAATTTGACATAAGCACTGGGCATTTTTCATACGGAAGAGCATTTGTGAGGTCAGACACTGATGTTGGACGAGAGGGCCTGGCTCACAGTCTCCATTCTAGTTCATCCCAAAGGTGTTTGATGGGAGGTCAGGGTTTTGTGAGGGCCAGTCAAGTTCTTCCACACCAAACTCACCCAGTCAGGCCTTTATGGAGCTGCTTTGTGCACTGGGGCTCAGTCATGCTGGAACAGAAAAGGTTCTTCCCCAAACTGTTCTCACAAAGTTAGAAGCGTACAATTGTCCAAAATGTCTTGGTGCTGAAGCATTAAGATTTCCCTTCACTGGAACTAACTAACTAACTAACTGGGTTCTAGACCAACCCCTAAAAAACAACCCCATAGCATCATCCCTCCTCCGCCAAACTTTACAGCTGGCACAGTGCAGTCAGGCAGGTAACTCTGGTGCAGTGCAGTCAGGCAGGTAACTCTCTCTGCTGGCATAGAGAAGTGTGGTTTATCACTCCACAGAATGCATTTCCGTTTTTAAACACTGTGTCCACTCACTGTCCACTCTATTAGACGCTCCTACCTTGTCGGTCCACCTTGTAGATGTAAAGTCAGAGACGATAGCTCATCTGCTGCTGCACAGTTTGTTCTGGTCATCCTCCAGTCCTTCATCAGTGGTCACAGGACGCTGCCCACAGGACGCTGTTGGCTGGATATTTTTGGTTGGTGGACTATTCTCAGTCCAGCAGTGACACTGAGGTGTTTAAAAACTCCAGCAGCACTGCTGTGTCTGATCCACTCAGACCAGCACAACACACACTAACACACCACCACCACGTCAGTGTTACTGCAGTGCTGAGAATGATCCACCACCCAAATAGTACCTGCTCTATGAGGGTCCATGGGGGTCCTGACCACTGAAGAACAGGGTAAAAGGGGGCTAACAAAGTATCAGAGAAACAGATGGACTACAGTCTGTAACTGTAGAACTACAAAGTGCACCTATATAGTAAGTGGAGCTGATAAAATGGACAATGAGTGTAGAAACAAGGATATACAGGTCATAATGTTATGCCTGATCAGTGTAGATGCAAAGCAAGAGAGACTGTGGCTTCAGACGTCATTCTATAGCTGCAGAGTATGTAGGATATAGTGGAATGGAAAATCTTCTCATGTTAATTAGCCTAAATCATGCTAAAGATTCAAATAAACTAAGTGCGTTAATCATTCTCTATTAGGCAAATACAGGTACAGTAACATACAGTATGCCAGCTGTGTCTGTGTCATTGTTTATCATGCTGCTAATATTAATGATTTTAATACATCCCCATAAACCCCATGTTGCTAGCTAGCATGGCTAACGCAGATTAGTGCTGTTCCTCTTGCAGTGGCTGGCGTGGCAGGTTGTCCCACGCTGGCTTTGAGATAAAAATAGCAGCAGTGGCACAGGGCTGCAAAACAGGATAGAGTCTCTGTCTGCAGCATATAGGCCAATCCTGTTAGCCTGCAGCCTCCTGGGGAAGAGCTAGATTGAGTTGGCTGGGTTCCCCGTAACTTCAAACTGAGAATGACAGCACAATAAAATGAGTTATCTCTTCTTGAAGTGACCGCAGTAGCTCCAGGGATTCAGTAGCCAAACTTTTTGACCACAGTCAGGGCCAAAACATTTCTTCCATTGAATTTCTGATTGCCAGCGTCTCTGAGCTCCAGTTCAGCGTGGTTCTTATTAGTAGTGGCTGGTATTCCAGTGGAAATTCTTCCTCACGTATGAATTTAATCAAACATGTTGTATGTACGTATAAGTGCAGATAATACGATGTACAAACAGTGCAGACCAAGCTAATATTATCCTATTTAGCTGAGTGACCGAGAAGTGTATTTTAGTCACATTTCTAATGTAATTGAAAGCGCAGCAGCCTCTCAATCACTGCCCACTGTTGAGTCAGATGCATCCAGTTTATTTTTGAAGCAGCGGGCATAACGAAACGACTGGTCTTTTGTTTTAGCCCAAAATGGACACCAGACCGATGAGGACTAGCTGTTACTTTAGTGTGAAATGACTAATATTTTTCAAATTCCAGTAGTGTCTGACGCACGTATGAGACAAATGTATGGAGTTAAATCAGTGTCACCAGAACCTGAACCTGATTTTGTCGTTCTGAACCTGAATTCATGAGACTGAACCTGAATTTGTGACGCTGAGCCTGAATTCCCAGTGCTTTTTCAGGTTGAGAAATTCAGGTGGTAAAATTCAGGTCTGGAAATTCAGGGAAACATCCGGCGTACTCAGGAAGAGCAAACAAGCGGATCTTTCCTTGAGTTTCTCGACCTGAATTTTACCACCTGAATTTTACCACCTGAATTTTCTAGCCCTGAATTTCTCAACCTGAAAAAGCATCAGGAATTCAGGTTCAGTGTCACAAATTCAGGTTCAGCGTCACAAATTCAGGTTCAGGTGACACTGATTTAACTCCATACAAATGAAATAGAAATTTAACAAAGCTGATGCTGGCTTCTTATTGCAATTTCCCGTTCCACCTTAAATGGTGTGTAATGTAAAATGTAACTGCCATTCCATTTAAGGTAGAACTGAAAATTTGCACAAAACGCTGCTGAATAAGAAGCCAAATTAATCTTTGTAGAAACTGATACGTGATACAGCACGTAGCACCATTTTGCCAGGCCAGCAGGGCTGGTTTTAGAAAACAATATCAACATAGGTTTTTCTATATATTGTTCAGTTTTGTTTTTACTATTTTGGATCTACATAACTTGTTAAAAATGGCTCTAATCAAAAAGTGAAGGGACTTCCCTGAATACTAAGCCACTTTTAACTCCCAAATATAGGTTTACTTAAGCATGTAAAGTGGTTTATTTGAATGTATATATTCTATCCCTCTGCAGGTGCCATACTTTGAGTGGCTGGAGTTGAAGTCCGATTGGCAGAAAGTGGCCTACCTGAAGGATAAGATGGGGAAAGCAGTAGCTGAGGACATGGCCAAGTGAGCCAGTGGACTGCAGCATATCCTCAGACCAAAGCATCGTTGAAATCTATTGAATATATCCAACCAGAGACAAGCAGGATGTGGTAATGTCAGAAGACGTTGAACGTGATTTCATATTCACCCATTTACCCGGACATGCAGAGCGTCTACATCAAAGCATCTCCAAGAACAATGATAACAGTAGTCAGTCAGCATCTACATCTGTATGAATCAAAACAGGCAACACTGGATTCTCTTCTGGAACAAAAATGAAATGAACAGTAGATCATTATGCTACTGTGCATTGAGTCTGAGAGCCAAGCGTGGGTTCTGAGGTGGATCTCCAACTGGCCTGAGTGGAATACCAGAAAGATACACTGCTATTTCTGTCATATCACCATGCTTGTAGTTTGCTTATCAAACTCGCCATAAGATATTTGAAATTTTGCTTCCTTAAAAGCTTTTAGAATATTATAAATACACCCATCAGGCATAACATTATGACCACCGCCTTGTTTCTACACTCGTTGTCCATTTTATCAGCTCCACTTACTATATAGGTGCACTTTGTAGTTCTACAGTTACAGACTGTAGTCCATCTGTTTCTCTGATACTTTGTTAGCCCCCTTTTACCCTGTTCTTCAGTGGTTAGGACCCCCATGGACCCTCACAGAGCAGGTACTATTTGGGTGGTGGATCATTTTCAGCACTGCAGTAACACTGATGTGGTGGTGGTGGTGTGTTAGTGTGTGTTGTGCTGGTACGAGTGGATCAGACACAGCAGTGCTGCTGGAGTTTTTAAACACCTCAGTGTCACTGCTGGACTGAGAATCGTCCACCAACCAAAAATATCCAGCCAACAGCGTCCTGTGACCACTGATGAAGGTCTAGAGGATGACCAACACAAACTATCCTGACACACATGAGCTGCTGTCTCTGACTTCTACAAGGTGGACCAACAAGGTAGGGGTGTCTAATAGAGTGGACAGTGAGTGGACACATAAGGTGTACCTATATAGTTAGTGACAAGGAGGTGGTCATAATGTTATGCCTGATCGGTGTATGAATCTTGTAATACTTGCTCATACTTAGGAATTCATTCATTGTGGAGCACATTTAGCTCAGAGCATCATCCCCAAAAATCTGGCTTCCACCCTCACCTAAAACAGACTTTATAACAGACCAGTTTGTGCTACCTGGATCACATGACTATTAAAGGTTCACGCTCAGTTTTGCAAGTCTTCTAAAAACTGAGCAAGATGCTTCCTCAGAGAACTCTCCTGCCACTAATAATAAACACACGCTTTCCACTCTTAATGCAGTTGCCTAGACGACACTATGGGGCTTTCCTTGTTGCCAAGGAGACAGTTGTCGAGGCCGAAGTGATGCTTAAAGATTAGAGGGAGGTTGCTCAGATATAAGAGTTTGGAACATAAAAAAACACTTTCAGAGGTGCTGTGTGTCCAGTCGTCAATGTGAAATACTTCAAACGTGCAAAATAAAATGGGTGTTTATTTAAGTTATTTATTTGTCTCAGTTCATATTCGAATACTTGAACAGTTTTGTACAGTACTGTGCAAACGTCAGAGACGACCCTTCATTTATTTCATTTCCAGTCAAAACTGCCATTAAGTAAAAGTAGTTCATTTTTCGGGAGATATTTCTGAGATTAGATATAGAAAAATTCACTTGCATGAGGAAAAAGAAAGTAAGTGAAAAAAGGAGTTCAAAAATGTATTAAAAAGGTACAGAGAAAGCGGGCCCCCAAACAACCGTGCAAGACTTGGCAGACCACCAAAACTGCCACCACCATACATCTTTTGAGAGATCAGTTTGTCTCCTCTCTTGCTTCTGATCTGAAAACATCCACAGGTGTTTCTGTCCATCCTTCCACTGTGAGAAGACGACTCAGCGCTATGGAACCAAAAAGATGTGAAGCTGGGAAGAAGCCAGTGCTAAGGAAAGGAAATAGACAAAAAAGGAAAAAAAATGCACAAGAACACAACACAACCTAGTCATCTAAAAAAAAATGTGGCAGAAAGTTTTATAGACTAATGACTCTAAATTTATAACTAGCATTGCTTAGATACTGTGGCTGAGAAGACCCAACAAACTAATAATAAAAATAATAATGATATATAATAATAGTAATAATAAAACAAGCTACAAATGCAGAAATGTGGGCTGCAAATTCATGGACACTCTGTAAACTCAGAAAACACCTAAGACGTATTCCTGTAACACTGGCACAACATTTTACAAATGCACTGCAAATACAGAAAACACATGCTTTTAATGCTATGCAGCAGAAACATTCACCAGTAAAAGTACGTTAACTTTTATTTGAGCAGATTATTACTATCATTTTATCCTAATGGGAATAAGCTACACAGTGTAACTGTAAAACTCTAACTAGTAAAAATAGAAAACTACAAACTAGCCAGCCAGGTTAACCATTAACTTAGGATGTGAGTGACCTTGATCTTCTCTACTTCTGTCAGTGATTTTTTCATCATAGATATTTCATCCACTTTGAGCCTTACAGAAACATCTCACCTTTTTCTCCTTCGTCTCGCTCTAATAATGAAGCTGAGAGCTGATCAGAGTTAATGATCTTCTCAGCGAAGCTCGTTCTGCTCGTTAGTTTGTGCTGATGATGAACGTGATTCATTAACGTGACGTTACTGAGTAGGATGAGCTCATGAGGGTCATTTCAGGACACCGGTTCGTCACATTAATGACAGATTTGAATCACTTACGAGTGTAAACCATCGAGTCAGAGAGATCGGATTTGAGCACAAAATCGGATTTGAGCAATGACGCATGTAATGTGAACGTAGCATAGTGTTCACATTAAGATTGCATGGCCATGAATCAGATATGTATCCGATCTAGGACCACATATGAAAGTGGCTCAGGTTGGATTTGAAAAGATCAGATTTGCGTGTCCGCACAGCCCTAAAAAAACCCATCAAAATACGGCAAAATAATCAGATTTGTACCACAACCTGGTAATGTGAACGTAGTTGGTTGTATTTTCTACGTCTCACAATCCAAATAATCCCAAACACAGTCAATAATTATGTGGTCTGGACTCTGTGGTGGACAATCCATTGTTCTGAGAACACGGGCAGCTTCTTTGTTTGATATGTAAATGTTCTGTTTTTTGTCTATTTCCTTTTCTCAGTGAGGTTCTTCTTGACAGCTACACATCCTTTCAGACCCATAGCACTCAGTTGTCATCTCGCAGTGGAAGGATGAACAGAAACACCTGTGGATGCTTTCAGATCTGAAGCAAGAGTGGAGACTGATTTTGTATAATATGGGCCCCGTACCAGTCTTATCATGATATTTAGAGCTGAATTTAGAATTTGGCTTCAGTCACAAATGTTATTAACCCAAGAATTACAGTCCAGTAACCTTTGTGACCTTTGTGATTGTTCTCAGTGTTTCTTCCTCACGTTCTCAGAGAGTTCTTGAGGTGTAAATAAGTGACTTCACAGCAGTTTGATTGCGATTCTTTTGTTTTGACTATTTTGAGATGATTCAGATTTACAAGCTATTTTTTCATCGAAAAATAATTTAAGAAATGAATCCATTTTGACCAAATACAAGTGCAGTTTTATTGAATACCAATATATTCTGAGTTCCAACATGTGAAATATCACACGATGGGAGGAGGGAGTCGAATGAGCAAGTGATAGAACTGAATGTGGCGAGGCAGCATTGGGATGCAGCACTGAACTCTATCTGAAGGGAAAAGCTGGCTGGATGGGGTTTTCGGGACCCCTGGCTTCTTCAGCCTTCAGGACAGCCATGACCTGTGTTTGGGCCGACTCGGTCAGACCATGTTATGCAATCACCCTTCAAAGGTGCCTGGAAGAATGAAGAGATTAGCTCTAAAGAAAGGGAAGAGATGAGTGAGTGAGAAACAGAGAGAGAGAGAGAGAGAAAGAGCCTTTTACAAGGCCACAGCTCATCTAAGCAAAAGATTGATGTAGTGATGTATGTAAATAGTATTTCAGAACATTCTGGTCACTCACTAGGCCATACCTCCAAAAACAACCCACTTTGTGGTCATCAGTTTTGTGATTTCATAACCATATACATATTTACATATGATCGCCCATTTACACTGAATTACAAGGAGAGTTGTAACTGCAGACTAGTAATGGATATTCCAGCAAGCAGCCTGTTTATGCTACCAAATGGCTTTTATTTCAGTAACATTTCCATTTTTTCCCAAAATTAGCCAGAGTAGCGATAATATCATTACATTTTCAAGAAAACTTTAGTCTACTTTCTAGTTGACAAAAGTTGCATCATGTTTGTTATGTAAAAAATGTAGTAATTCAGAAGTTGCTAGGTGTTTTTTTGTAAGTTCAGACCATGACTTCAACATGGTGGTGGTAGTATGAGGGATGACTGATTGAGGGAGGGGGGAGAACTCTGAGAACTCAGGCTGGAGTTCTGGGCAGCTTCTGCCTGTAGTTAGAAGGCCAGACCCCCCTCATAGCTGTAGTAGGACGGATGTAGGACTGAGGAACAGGGAGGAGATGGGGTGGTGGTGGGAATTGCGAACACTTCGTCACCGGAAAAGAAGGTGAGGATGTGAATTTATAGGGAGTTGGATTGGAAGAAGGAGGGGTTTCAGCCATGCTTCTCCCCCCAAACGTCAGTTATAACATATCTACATTGATAAACAAGGATCACAAGATGGGCAGACATGCAGGAAAATCCATTAACAAACAAAAGCAGGTAAAAATCAAAAATAACACATCATAATAAGACAAACTAACACATCAAGCAGCAAGTTTGAGGATAATAAGGTGGCAGAGAAAGAATGTTCCAAAGAGATCCAGGAAGGGGGGCAGGGGGGTTCTGTGAGCTTCAGTCATAAGACCTGACCAATTTTCTCAACATTCACCCAGCTTGTTCGTGAGTGACACATGCAGTCTATGTTATTGGAATGAAATATATGAATATATGAAAATGCAATTAATGTTTTAAACATACCAAAAAAGGTCAGTACAAAATTTGGCAGACATATTTTAGGATCTCTGACTGGCCACCTATACAGCCCTGTAAGTCCTCATATTAGTGCGCTGTGCTTGGACCCCGATGATTGCTGCTATATTCGTTGACGGTTCCTGACAGCACATTGGTTACAACAGTCCATTAAATTCGATGTGTTCACAAAAACACAAAGTTGTGGTTTACTGTCTTAGCTGCAAACAATGACAATTTACACCTATTAACCTTTTTGGCACCCTCTGCTCAAAAGCAATTGAAGAAAGAAATCTGAATAATGGACTGCGAATCTGACCTTACCGGTCGTACACGTCAGGTAATGTTACTGATCGCCCATTTCAAGCTGATTTACATTTACATTTACATTAATGGCATTTTGCAGACATTTTTATCTAGAGAAACTTACAATTTTGATCATTTTACACAGGTAAGCGAAGGTAATGTTAGGAGTCTTGCCCAAGGACTCTTATTGGTATAGTGTAGGGTACAGTCTACAGCATGGTGTTACACACTACACTATACCAACCACTTTTTTAGAGTAATGTTAACTTGGAAATGAACATTACTCTAAAAAGCTAGTAAGACAGTTATACTGTGGAATTTC